TGATTCAAGGCAAGGACGAAGGATCAAAGTGTCAGGACGCAAGAGTTAATCATATAACCGTTGTAAATGAGGACTTAGGTTATGAAAGAGTTAAAAAATTATGGGAATTAGAAGCAATTGGGATAAGTTCGGATAAAGAAATATCTCTATCAGATAAAGAAATTTTAGAGTCATTTGAACGAAATACAACTTACAAGAATAAAAGGTATGAAACTCGATTATTGTGGAAAGAGGGTGTTGAAGGTTTAAATAACAATTATGAAATCGCGAAACAGCGTTTACAATTTTTAAATAATAAGTTTCAGAAAAATAGCGAGCTATATTTAAAATATAATGAGATAATTAATGAACACTTGAGAGATGGTATAGTGGAACGGGGTAGATACGTATTTAAATAGTAGTTTGAAAACGGGGTATTACATGCCTCATCACGCGGTAGTAGTGCGCGAGCAGAAGGATTCTACAAAGGTTCGAATAGTTTTTGACGCTTCTTCTAAAAGTAAGGGAAACTTATCACTTAATGATTGTTTGGAAAGCGGACCTAATTTAAATCCTGATTTGCTAAAGATTATCATTAAATTCAGGGTACATTCAATTGCGTTTTGTGCCGACATTCAGCGTGCATTTTTAGAGGTAGGCTTAGCTAAAGAAGATAGGGGTTTTTTAAAGTTTTTGTGGATAAATGAAGAAGGGTCAAATCTCGATCACAGTAATTCCAACTTACAAGTTCTTCAACACAATCGAGTTCCTTTCGGGGTCAAGTGCTCACCTTATTTATTAACAGCTACAGTAAGACTGCATTTAAAAGAGTATGAAGATGCCTACGAAGAGGCATGCAGTATGTTAAAAGAGCTTTACGTAGATGATTTAATTTCTGGGACAGTTAATGTAGCAAAGGCCTTACATTTAAGCAAGGACATGATTTTCATTCTTAGCGAGGCCAGTATGAATTTACGTAGATGGGTTTCAAACTCACCTGAGCTGAATGAACTATGGAAACTTAATGGAATTGACTCTCGTGAAACATCTGAAGACTCTTTGGTACCGTTGAAAGTTTTAGGTCTTATCTGGGACAATGTCAATGATAATTTGAAAATAGATGTATCTCAGTTTGAGAAGTTACAAAATCTCAAAGTAACTAAACGCATCATTTTAGCAGCATGTGGTATGCTGTTTGATCCCTTAGGAATTATGAATCCATTTACTGTTCGAATTAAACTCTTAATGCAAACTATGTGGGAAAAGGGTATTCAATGGGACGAAAATGTTCCCCTTGATACAGAATTCATATTTCAGGAATGATTTAAAAGAAGTTGAAAAAATAAAGTTTTTCGAAATTCCCAGACAGTACTTCAGTGATATGTGTTGGAAGTTTATAGAAGTTCACATATTTTCTGATGCCAGTCCCAAGTGTTATGGTGCCGTAGCATATTTTAGATTTAAAAAGAAAAATAAATGTAAAACAAGTTTCATAATGTCGAAATCCCGTTTGGCTCCATTAAAAAGGGTAACACTCCCTAGGCTTGAACTTTTGGGAACATTAATTTCTGCAAGATTAGGTTCGTATTTGCAATCGATATTTCCGCAGTTGGATAAGGGAAATATATTTTACTGAACTGATTCCCAAATTTGCATTCACTGGATCAAGGGATCTGCCAACGAGTGGAAACGATTTGTTAGAAATCGTGTGGTAGAAATCAAAGAGAAAACAATTTTAAACAACTGGTACTTTTGCAGTGGGAAGACAAACCCTGCTGATAAACTTACGAGGGGCATGGATGCTGAAGTTCTAATTAATGATAGTGATTGGGTTTCTGGGCCACCCTGGCTTTCAGAAGTAGATATTCGACATCACATAAACGAAATGAGTACCGAAGCTGACTTGCAAAACGTTAGTGAAGAACGAAAAATTTGTTACTTTGAAAACACTTGTGGAATCTACAGAACCGTTACTAAATCTTGAACTGTACGGAAATTTACCAAAGTACTGGGAATAATGGCTTATGTTCTGCGCTTCGTGAACAACTGTAAATCCGCTCGTGAAAGGCAATCTGGTGTGCTTACCGCCTATGAGTTACGGAAGGCTTCAGAATTTATTATAAGAAATGTTCAACTTAATGAATTTTCAGAAGAAATTAAGGCTTTAAAGACAGAACAACCGATTAAAACTAAAAGCAAAATCATTTCACTTAATCCATTTCTAGATGAAAACGAAATTTTAAGAGTAGGAGGTAGATTAAGAAACGCAGAAATTACCAGAGAAAGTAAACATCCCATTATATTGCCAAATAATAATCACTTCACAAAATTAATGATACAGCATTATCACGAAAAACATTTACACGGAGGGTTGCATTTAATGTTATCCGCAATAAGACAGAAATACTGGATAATAAGTGCAAAAGAATGAAATTAAAAAATGCATAAAATGTTGCAGAGTACGAGCAGTAACATCTATTCAATTAATGGGAGAACTACTTGCAAGTAGAGTGATTCCAAGTAGAACCTTTTCAAAGGTTGGCGTTGATTATGCCGGCCCATTTTCTGTGAAAATGAAAAGGGGAAGAGGTATAAGACCAATTAAATGTTATGTCTGTATTTTCGTTTGTTTAGCTACAAAGGCATCCATTTAGAGATTGCTAGCGACTTATCAAGTGAAGCATTCCTAGCTGCTCTAAAACGATTTGCTTCGAGGAGAGGAAAACCTCAAGAAATAAGAAGTGATTGTGAAACTAATTTTATAGGTTCAAATAAAATCCTCAAAGAAGCAGTTTCATCTGTCCAGTCAACCTCAGAATTTCAAAGGTGGTTAGCAAATGAAAACATAAGGTGGATATTCAACCCGCCAGCTGCTCCACATCATGGCGTGGTATATGGGAGGCAGCTGTTAGATCTATGAAGCTGCATCTAAAGAAATGTGTTGGAACTCAAATTTTGACTTATGAAGAGTTTCTAACTCTAATTGCACAAATTGAAGCATGCTTAAATTCGAGGCCAATAACACCGGTCTCCAGTGATCCCAATGATTATGACAGCTTTGACTCCTGGACACTTTATTATAGGGACTTCTTTAACAGCTGTTCCGGAACAAGATTTAACCGAAGTACGAGTGTCTCCATTGCAAAGATGGCAACTAACACAGCAGATGTTCCAAGGGTTTTGGAAGCGGTGGTCTAAAGAGTACCTGTGCCAACTACAGCAGCGTAGCAAATGGAGACAGCCTAGCAGAAATATTCGCCTAAATGACTTGGTTCTCATTAAAGAAGATAATATGCCTTCATTACGTTGGAAACTCGGGAGAGTAATAGAAGTGTTTCCTGGAAGAGATAATAATGTCCGAGTGGTTAGACTAAAAACTGTGCACGAGGACATTAAACGTCCTATTACCAAATTGTGCCTTTTACCAGTTGAAGAACATTAACTTAAGTGTTTGGTTTACATTGAATATGTTTTATTATTTTTTTATTTCTTATTGTACTAATAATTTTGTTTGTTCTAGTTTAACCCTCATAGTTAACGTTTCAATATAGTAAGATATAAGACGTTTTGCTAGAAGATTGGTAAGTGTAACATGTAATTTTATACTTTTTGGAAGGTTCTTGTATGTTTTCAGTTTCTATATTTTTCATTTACTTGTTTGCATATATTGAAGATTGTATTAAGATGAATGTGATTCATCGGGGGGGAGGATGTTTTGGCCTCCTCGGTGATTTGTGCCCAGAGGGCGCACCGCACAAAAAGTTGCGTTACAGAACGTAAGGGAAGCGGACACGCCAAAATGTCGGGCGTATTACCGCTAATTGAGGTAATTGCATCGTATCTGTCAGGTGGCAGAAAACTAATATGATGTATCAATTCACATGCCAGGTGGCAGAATATGTCTATCATGTACATGCCAGGAGGCATAACGCTTGTAAACATGCCAGGTGGCATACGACTTGTAAATAAATTGTAAATAAATGTACAGTAAAATATCTTGGTGCAATAGATCAAGAAACACGCATCAACAACCTTCTGATCATTTGGATACGTACATATACAAATATCCTAATAAAAAATAAAACACTTAATATGGAAATAGCAACGTAAAGTCACGTTAAATCAATTAAATTTTTAAGGCATCTTTTGCAAAATCTTTTTTCCTTATCTTTAATGAATTGTTAATGAGTTATTTAATGAATTATTTCATCAATGCCCCTGCTGAAATTAAGTTTTACAATATATTTACTTTCAAATACATTACTAAAACAACATTATGGCTTCAGTTCAGGATTAGTGCTCCAAAAAGCAATAATTCATTCAATAACTGTCGAGTTTTCTTTGTAGTTATTATACGAAAGCTGTATCTCTCATTAACAATGATGCTTCTGCTGAGGAATCAAACTTTTCAGGAGCTTTCAATATCCTTGGTACACTAATTAAAATCATGAAATGCACAGTTTTGTTTACTGGTAGAACACACCGACTACAACATGTTTTCCCTCGTATGGAAAGTAAATGCAATCTTTTGAAAGTTCCCCCGAAGTAATACTTCCTGTAAAGATAGCCCTTCAATTCCTTGCTACAAATAACTTTATGCTTACAAAAAAAAAAAAAAAAAAGTTTCATTTCAAATGTTTTTTACTATTTCTAACTTTGAAATTAAGGGATTATGAACATTTTAGCGAAAAATAGTCTACACTGTTTATGATTATAAAGAAATAGAATGAAATTGTTCTGCAAAATTTTAAATTAGTTTTACTACGATCATACATTTAGCAGATGGTTTCTTGCCTACTTTCATATGTTAGTTGCTTGTCTGCTTTTTGAAGAACTGAGAAAATATATTGCTCATGAAATAATGTCAAGGTTTTGGAAAAATGGCTTTCATTTTTTTGTGTTTTTACATAAAATGTTTAACACCATTTATCAGTATATTTAAATTTTATGGCAAAATGTTACATCTGTTGACTGGAAACACATAGCTTTAATTTGTATAGTAAACTTCACATAATTCCATATTTAGCAAAAATATTTTTTATTTCCTCAACATTTTCAGTACTAGTTCTAATATCTATAATGGTCAGGTTTAAAAGGACCATCTTTATTCAGAGATAAATAAGCAGCTTGACTATCAGTTAATTTGGTTAACTTGACTCCTAGATGATCCAGATGCAAAGCTGCAACTTCTTCATCAAGCTGTGGGGGTAAAAAAGAGATTGAAATAGAGACTACAAAAAGAAATTTTTCATAAATTGTAAAAATTTCATGTTCATATTCTTTCGATTATAAATACGGCATCTATGTAATAAGTGCCAAAATATTTTTAAAACATTTTATAATTTTCCATACATTAAAAACATTTATGAATCAATTAAATATCTAGAAAAAGTTATATTAATATTAGCACACAATTAGATATGTAAAACAGGGGGAAAATACAGTTGAAAGGATAGATACAAACATGAATCTAAACTGATTTATTATTATTAAAAACTGAATTGTTCCTAAATTTAGGCTGCATAGAGAAAATAAAATCTATCTCAAAAATTCAAATATAATCTCCCTTTTCTTGAATGCAACCACTTTTCAATGATTTAAATTTGAATGCCATTTTACAGAAAGATCAACATGAAAATATAAAAGCAATTTCACATAAGACAGAAATCTATGGAAATTTTTTTAAATAGTTAAAAATAATATTACCTTTTTAGGAAGGAAATATACACCAACTTTATAATTGTCAGGCTTTGTCCATAGTTCTATTTGTGCCATAACTTGGTTAGTAAATGAATTACTCATAACAAAACTAGGGTGGCCAGTAGCACAGCCTAGATTTACAAGTCTACCTTCAGCTAACAGAATTATGTGATTTCCATTTGGAAGCTTATACCTGTCAACCTGAAAATAAAGAACATAGGTTTATTCTGATGTAATGAAAACCAGTGGCTCATATTTTTCAAGCTAGTACTTTATGAAAAGTATAGAACACATAATTTACACTAATTATCTGATCATTGTTACACTGCGAGCATGACAACCTACAAATTTTACTACAAGTTGGAAAAGTATTTCAAATACAGAAGTATAAAACGTATTTGTTTAATGATGTTATGTCACTAAACAGGTTAACCGAAGGAGAGAATATTAAAAATTTATTAAATACAAATTTGGAATACTGTATTTTTTTACAATAAATTAAGTTGGAAGCTTAATGTTGAGCAGCTTACTGAATGTGTTTCAAATAGACTTAGTATTCTTAAGTGTTTAGGAGAATGTATCTGGGGGTGCACTTGATCCACTCTTAACATTACATTTAATACTTACCGCATTTGCCGGCAAATAACACACACATTTTTTCTTTGAAAGCAAGTCTGAAAAACGGGGTGCGACTTATACATTGATACTCAGTTTTTGATTACATTCATTTCTAGAAATTTCCTCTATTCGGAGTTATGCGATTTCTTATTGATTTAAAGTGATTCAGAAGAGGTTTCAAGCAACTCTTCATTGAGCTCTGGAGATGAGTGTCTGGGTTTTGATGAAAAAGATTAAAAGTTGTTCTTTCCCAGATTGGATAGTTGCAGAAAGTATTACCGTGCACTGTATTATATTTCCCAGATAGATTGGTTATTTGCAGAAAATATTACTTTATATTTAAAATACACTAAATTCATTATAACAATCAGTAATAAAGTTTTAGCCTTTAAAAATTTTTATAAAAAAGGGGATGCGACTTATACGCCGGCAAATACGGTATATCCTGCCTTTACTGATGTATTGTTGTGAAGCTCTCATCACTGTTCCACAATCAGTGGTTCATAAACTTGAAGTGATGCAAAACCAAGCTTTTCGCTTGATTACAGGAGCTATCGATGTGATGCTACTGTTGACAGGAAATAAATTCCAGGTAACATACAATCACTCTTGACAACTGGAAGCCCTTTAGAGGTGATTAATGTCGAAGTAAAGACAGATCTAGTGGAAACCATCCACAGAAAAAGATATTGTACCAAGCATTTTGAAATGGCTCGCTTTGGAGACCATTGTGGCTAGATATCCGCCTATGGAGTGGCTGCACATTTTTACTGATGGTTCTCAGTTTGACTGTCATCTTAATGTTGATGTTGGTGAGTTTTCAAATCTTTATAATATATACCCCTGCAGGATACATTGGTATCTCCTTTAATGAAATAGTAGCCATATGTACAGCCCTAAAGCAATTATTAGCTATCCATTACAAGTTTGCAAAGGCAGTCATTTTCTCAGATTCTCACGCAGCCATACAATCAGTTAGCTCAAAAACACCCGAAACTTTGCAATATCAGCAATATTCCTGAGAAATCTCACTTTAAAGGGGAAACAAATCATTCTCCAGTGGGTGCCTGGTCATTGTGGCAATCAACAAGTGGACTTCCTTGCAAAAAGAGGTGCCAGCTTACTACATCCTAATATAGCCCTTTCTTATTGGAGGATTAAACTGTTTTCAAAAAATTTATTTATGCCTAATATTTTATGAGATCTTCAGATCCATACAACTAGCCTCTTCCCTCACCAAATCCTATCAAAGCAGGTCTTTGTGACAACAGCAAAATCTAGAATGTATGGTGACTGCTCTTGCAACTAATAAATTAAATTTTACAATAGCTGAACATATGAAATATTTCACAAGTGGTTCTGCAGAAGATATCCACAAAGAACATAAGCAGCTTCAAACCTATATGGATGTTTCTAGATAATCACTTCCCACATATTTTATAAGTACGCAGCTTAACTACACAGTCATTCTCTTTAGCAGCCTGCATTAGGATGATACAATTTAAATATTCAAACCTACTGGATTTTATTGCTCAGACTTGACACTTCTCCTTTTTCAATAACAATGCTTTTATAGCTATTCATAAAGCCCGTGGCTAACAGGTACGTCAGTAAAATGGACAATTTTGAAACCTTCACCAGCAATACAAATTTATTCACAGCGATATAAAAGAAATAAAAAATGAGCGTATAATACTTGCAATTTGTGAGGAATGTTTACGAACAACTTGCACAAACATGTCAAGGAACAAAATACGAGGGTTGGAACGAGGGTTGGATGGTAAAGCACTTCCCAGCCCCATTGCTTGAACAAATCAGTCACAGCTTGCCCTGCATGCGGCCGAACATTGTCATGCAAAATGAGAGGAGCGTTCTGCAGAAAGTGTCGCCGTTTTTTTCCTCAAAGCTGGTCGGAGATTGTGCTCCAAAAATGAGCAGTAATACTGCGCAGGGACGGTCTGCTGTGGGGGAACGGTATGCGTTAGGATGACACCCTGACAGACATTCACATTGCTGGGGTTCTGATGAAATTTCGAACGTCGTGGTGATCCGTGATGACGCCATTCGTTTGATTGGCGTTTCAGTTCTGGCTGGTACGATTGGGCCCAAGTCTTATCCAGCGTAATGATACGCCGTCAAAAAGCATCTCCTTCGTGCTCATAGCACTCCAGGTGGGTTTGGGCAGCATAACGTAGCCATTTCTGCATTTCCATCAATTGATGTGGAACCCATCGTGAAGCAATTTTTCTCATGGACAGGCGTTCCTTCAGAATGTGCAGCACAGTCGTATGCGCTAATCCTGTTTGTCCGGCCAGCTGACGAATCGTTTGGTGGCGATCACTGTCCACTAGTGCGACAACAGCTTGCACGTCTGCATCGACGAATCGTTTGGTGCCGATCACTGTCCATTAGTGTGGCAACAACTTGCACGACTGCATCGCTGACACTCGGACGACCTGGCCGCAGCATGTCTGCCACGTTTTCGCGTCCTTCACTGAATGCTTTCACCCATCTTGCTATGGTTCTGTAAGGCAATGCAGATTCCCCGCAAGCCTCTTGAAGCCCTTGATGACACTGTCGTGCTGTACGACCTCTGGCACATTCAATTTTTATCCAACATCGTTGTTCTTGTTTTGAAAACATCCTGACAACACTTACTTTAGACCGCGAGCTAATACAAGGATCCGTTCTTCATGTCACTCCGCATGCGCGTGACGTAGGCAGGACGAGTCTTTTTGCTGAAAGGTAAGGTAGGTATGTAGTTCACATGTGGTATACGCGATATTCTTCAGTTTTGTTGCGTAGCGTTTTTCAGGACTATCACCAAGCTGTCACACTAGAAAATAGTTCAACATGTGAGCATAATGTTTTTTATATTCCCAGTAGTGGCATTGCTGCAATCGTTTCCAAAAAAAAAATAACGTCTCATGATTCCAAATGATGGATCCAAATGACACCACTACCATTTTCTGACTATGAAATTGCTTTTCATGAGGCATTTCAGTATTGCCACATGACCAGTATCTAAAACTTTGCTCGTTAACAAAGCCCGATTGTCACAGACCTGAGTTGTCATTCACAAGTTCCAACAATTCCCAGCAAAAGCATAGTCTCTTTGGGAGGTTATCTGCATTAAATTTTTGGACTACCTGCATTTTGTGTAGCTGGTATTGCAGGTTCTTGTGCAATATTTGCGGTATGCTACAATTCAACATGACAAGTAGCAGCACATGCTTGTATGCACAACACCTGGAACTTCGGCTGAAGGCTTCTTCCACTTTTACAATGTTCTTGGGTGTGCACACGCTTACTGCACTTCAGACAATCTTTCTCATCATATCACACATTTCAATGCTGTGTATGTACAATTTGATAGCATGACATAAGACACTGCAATGAACGTGAAATACAAGCTGTGTGGCCACATAGCTCTCATAGCTTTTGCAACGGCTTCACAGGAAAAGTGTCCTGTTCACTGGCCCACAACCCCATCTCAACTTAACACGGATATCAGGGTCAATGACAAAGGTTTGTTATTCAGATGGCACCAATCCCATTTTCCAATTTCTAACATAATTTGTTATTTCCAGGATTGCCAAACTGGCTGTTTCGCTGCCGCACCTATAATTAAATACTTCTGTAAGTATATTTTTATTTACAAATCAGAATGATACGAGTATAATGCTTTACAAAATGAAATAATAAAATGGAAACAGACTCCATAACCAGCTAAAAGCAAAATGAATTTTTATTAATTCCCCAATTTCAAAGCATTTAAATCAATAGCCCGAATTTGAAACTAAACGTCAGTAAAAAAAATTGATTTTAATAAAAATTAACCAATAAATTTTAAACACTACAACAACTTTATCCCATAATTCATGAGAGATATATTTAAAAAAGAAATCTCAACCCTTTCATGCTGACTGTTACAAGGGACATGCTGCACCCATTTTTCCAGCTAGAATATCAGAAAGAACATTTTCTCATTAGCCCTTACCCATCCTGTATTCGTGTCAGAGTTTTGGAAACTAACATTTTTAGAACAAGATAACGTTACATTTCGATAGGATTTGCGATACATGTGGATTTAACCTTCTACTATAACTAGAACTATACATTTGGATCTTGATTATATAAACATAAGACAAAGGACACGTTCTGGATTCGCTGGCCTTTTTCATGGTTCTTTAATGTTCACATAATATTTACTGATGTTAAGGGAGGTTTATTTGGGAAAAGGGCTACAGCAGTGGATGTCTGCCTTTCCAGTCCAGTTTCTAATTGAGAATTATATCTTTTGCATGTGAAATTCTCCTGTTTTAAGAGTTATAATGCCAAAGTACAGAAAATTGTTAATAAAGTAAGTGAATATCAGGTTTTATCTGCAACTTTACATGAAAAAAGAAACACACTTAAAAGAAACTTTACAATTATACATGGAAGAAGAATTATTAAATCTCTACTTTAAGAATTTTCTGGTCAAATATTCTTAATAAATAAAAATATGTGGTATTTTCTCCAATTATGTGCACCCCCCCCCACACAAAAGTTGCAAACTCATTGCCAACTTTGAAGAGCATTCATAAACTCAATGGTGACTGATTTTTCAGAAAGTTAATGCGTAAAAGGCAATAGCAATTTTAAAAACAGAAATTAAGAATTACATATAAGTGCAATTGTTAAAATTTTAAAAAAGGAAGGAACATCGTTAATAAAACATCACCTTTTTTGAGAAATGCTTTTCTGCATTTTTGTTCTCTGAATGTACACAATGATGTGTTTGCACTTTAAAAAACATAATAACATAAAATCAGCATCTGTACAACTTCCAAAACAGAAACATGCTATGCACATAATTCAGTTGTCACACAAATACTTTTTGGCAATAACGAGGGGTTACTGCAACTACTTTGGTGACATATTGCCTTTATCAATACTTTTTCATGACATTCTATTAGAGGTACAGATAATCAAAAACTATCAAACATGTTTGCATAAAATTTTTAATAAAAATAAGTAAAATGTAATGTGAGAATTTTCCATTACTTAATTTATACATGAATGTAAAATAAAGCACAAAACATACTTGAGGCTTTATGTTAACTTTCTCCACAGCATTAACTTCAAGCCACTTGACATCAATTTCAATATCAAAATGTCCAATATTACAGACAATTGAATCATTTCTCATTGCCATAAAATGTTCTCCTCTTATAATATCTCTGCATCCAGTAGTAGTGACAAATACTTGAGCACTTTTACAGGCTTCTTCCAACGTAGTTACTTCATAACCTATATTAAACCATAAAATTATTAATGTACTATGAATAAAAATCAAAGCTATTTCAACATACACTAGTTAAAAAAAAAAAAAAAAATCTCAAAATTTTCAAGTACTCATATTTATCCTGCATTTATAGTATTTTCCTTGAATGGGTTTATATTTTGGTTTTATTTATGCATTCTAGTATTTTATAACTTATTTTGAGGCATGGCTCTGCAGATTACTATGTATAAAACATTAATTCTTTTAATTTCTAGTTCCTTTTTCAACAGTATTTAGTGGAATGTACACTTTAAAACTATATTTTACTACCCTTTACTGAGTTATTTTACAAATATAATACTCAACTACAACAGGATAGCTACAACTATTAGACTTGTTCTGAATATGTATGAATGTGAAAAAAAAGGGGGGGGATGTGAAGATTAGTCCAATTTAAATAGTGGTTACTCTTGGCCTTAATTTGTATTACTTTAAATTTTAATAAATGTATGGAATTTAAGGGACCAAACTACAGTACTACTGTTTTTGGTTCTATAATGCTCTAAGGATGATAAAATAAAGTACTGTACTTTATTTTAAATGTTTTAATTACTTAAAAATTTCAAGTTTGATTTAAAAGTTGGAACAATCAGACATTTGGTATCGCATCAGAAAGACATAAGCATTACAAATATCTTAAATAGAAATTACATTATAAATTGTAACAATTTTAAGGATATTCTAACAAACTAAACAAAGACAAGATCAGGTTAACAGATAAGAAAACCTGAGGATACTGATTTCTGAACTTAGAAACATGATGCTGGTCATTTGACTATAACTGGTGAAAGAAATGTTGAAGTAAATAGGCGAATGTAAGTCAATTGATACATGAAAGTGTCACAATTCAAAAATTCTTTCAGCATGTACACAAAAATAAACCATTTCTGCAGTAAACAGTGAACTTCAATAATTAATTCTTTATGATAATTATAATACTGTAAAAAAAATTTTGCAAGAATACTTTTAAACATGCATAATACCACTTTGATTAACCAGCTTTCTTGACAACATATTTCATAGTACATATCAGTTCCATAAAAATATATAAACCATCACTAAAATGCAGTAATTGAATAAATTATTTCTATCTTATGATAAAATGCTTAGAAAATAAATTTTCAAATTATATATATATGTAAGAAAAAGAATATGTAAAAGATTAAATTAGTAACGTAAATTTTCCTCGTCAATTCTGAAAATAGTAACCTCTCTCTGCACTGCGTCACTTTTAGATTAATTCATGTCATATGACTCTTGCATAATTCTAGTGATGTAAATGGAACTAAAACTCAAGCAGCCAATAGTAATTTTATAGTAATATGCATTAAGAACCAAAACTGAGTCAATCTGAATTAAGATTTCACCCTGAATATAACGCACTTTGGCTTAGCAGGACTGCAGTCTGTTTGCTCCTTCTATCTTAGTGCAAATTTATCTAAAATGTAAACTTTTTAGAATAGGCACATTTAACGTGCCAACTTGCCAACTTGTTTCTGGCCGCAACATGCTTGCTGAAATAAAAAATGAATATTTAATTTGTCTTTGCCTCCAATTTCCTATTCATTATGGATTAACACTTCTACACCATCAAAATTCCTGCTAGCCTTAATGCTTCCTTCCATAATGAAAACTGGAATCTTCCTTGAGGGATAGAATAAGTTACAGAAAAAACATACAAATCCCAACTAATTTTACAGAAATGGAAACTACAGATATATATTTGGTGGAAACCCAGTGACCATTTTAGTTTCAACATGAGAACTGGCACTCAGAGAAAGACAAATGTATATGACTGAAACAAAAAAATGTTATAAAATTAATTCATCATTCTGTATATCAAGAAATTAATCCTTAATACAAAGAGACACATTTTATACTTTTAAATACTCTTAATAAATAAAATTAAGGATTCACCTTTATGCTTTTTAAACTCCCTACTGATATTATAAAATTTTATATTATTATATTAAAAAATCTTGAAATACTTATCAATGAATTATAAAATGTTTTTATACATAAATTTTAAAAATCTGAAATTCAAATACAACATTACTTCAATTTGAGGTAATTTTTAATTGGGGTTAATTGAGGCATTAACATTAAAAAATAGCTAATTCCAGCAAATGTAAGGCATAATTTGCTTGTTCAATTTAATATTTACCTTCCATGGCAGCCTGCAGTGCATTAATTGGATCAATTTCGGTAATAATAACTCTTGCTCCAAATGCTCTCAGAGATGCTGCACTACCTTTACCAACATCTCCAAAACCAGCGACAACACATACTTTACCAGCAAGCATTATGTCTGTAGCTCGCTTGATTCCATCAGTCAGTGACTCACGACAACCATACAGATTATCAAATTTGCTCTAAAAATTAAGGTTTTATGCCTTGAGTTTGCAGTTTGATTTACATTTATTTGAAATGATTTGTAAAAAAATATAGGTCAAACTTACATACCTTAGTAACGGAATCATTTACATTTATAGCAGGAACTTTCAATTTTCCAGCATTCAACATTTTATACAAAGCATGTACTCCTGTAGTGGTTTCTTCAGATATGCCACGGATACCTAAAATATTAAATACATTTTTTTCAGATTTTAAAGCCCCAAAATTTATTCTCAACACTATCAAAATTTCTAGACAGGCCTTGAAAACTAAAGCAAATCCTTAACTGAAGAAGAAACAAACAGCAATAGAACTTTTACAATTAGTCATAGTTAATGTCATCTGCTGCATGTTCTAGATATAGAATTAGAACTCCATTTTTACACAGCTTAAAACAATGGAAAATAATTTTTACCAGGTAAAAACTGAGGATACTTCTCATGAACCAGTGCAGTAAGATCACCTCCATCATCAAGAATCATGTTCAAGGGCTGACCATCATGAAAAACAAGTGTCTGTAAATAAACAAAAGATTGAAACAGTTGAGTTCAAGTTATATTTCATATAAACACATTCTGAAATGGGAGGGGAAAAAAAATCAGACATACTCTTCAGGCAGGATAGGTAATTGGATAAAACCCACGAGGTCTCCAATTGAACCTTTGAAAGGCTATTTTAATGCAGCATGAACACATCATGCCTAGAACACAAATGTGTTCGGCATAGGCAAGTGACTAACAGACTTTACTTATTAGGCCTATAGTACACTCTTATGCTGTGCATATATTAAAACAATTAAAATAAATGTCGATGATACTAAACTATGAGAACATCTAAGGAAGATAAAATGTTGATCACCTAATTTAAAAATCAAACACCCCTCTATTTCTTAATACTATATAGCCTAATTTATAATATTTTTGCTAGTTTTATAACTCAAACAGAATATCTGATACTAATTTTAAGAAATACTAATCTAATCATGCATTTCCCACGAATTTCATAATTCTTCCTAAAGCAACATCTAACAAATTGCTGGAACCTCATGACAATCAAATTAAACTAAAAACAACTTATTATTCTTGAGAAATGGCAATTTTATGCTGCAAAAATTTATAATAAATCTCAGTGAGTTCAGATAAAATAATTAAATTAAATGCACTTTTATACTGAAATAATACAGACATTAAACATTTTTATTTAAGTCGTAAGCAACTACATTGAAAATAAGACATACGGTGGCTTCCAAAAGTGTTTGGAACTTTTTGTAGAAATAGCTCTGTAACCCGAAATAAAATTAAATTTGAATATAAAGCCCAGTATTTTTTTCATATCTCCATGCAATTTTGAACAAAATCAAACTTTTCTTTTTTTAATACTGACCTTTTTTTTTTTTTTCCTTCCAAAATTGAAAAATGCCACAAAAGTGATTATACACCAAAACAATTTTCATAACATCTCATAAATAAAATTATAGTCCAACACTTTTTTTAAATTTTGACGACATTTAAAAATTCAGTTAGCTTTATTTTCTTTGCTTGCTTGCTTTCTTCATTATTATTTATTTAAAAATTTGTCACAGTCATAAGGAAACAATAAATATCACTAAAAGATTGATCATTTTTCATCACAAGGGTGGAAAATAGATCCGAGACATAGCTAAATTAGTAAATTTATCCCATTCTATGGTGCAGTAGGTGATAAAACATTTTAAAGAAGAAAATTTGGTCAAATATGAAGTAAGAATATGTCATCCAGCAAACTTAATTCAACATCATCACATTTATAGTTAGAAAATTTGTGAAACATCTACATTTGAGCATAGTACAGATTTCTACAGAATTTAATGAAAAATTTTCTACTTTGATTTCCCCTGAAACTGTTCGATGAGTACTCAGATCAGCTGGATTACAAGAGCATTCTGCTCAAAGAAAATTTTTTTAAGTGCAAAAGATGGAAACCTTATTCTTTCCTTCACAAGATCAATGATAAATATGCCCAAAGCATATAAGAACCATGTCTTATTTGAATTTTTTGGTTCCAATGGGCACATAATTTTATGGAGAACAAAAAATTAGGAACTTAATTCCAAGACCTTGATTGGTACAACAAAGGATGGCAGTGGAAGTGTCCTTTGCGGGGGGTGTAAGTCAACATTAGGATTTGGCAATTTAGCATTTATTGACATATTGAGCCAGGCTCTTTATTTAAATATTTTAAAAGATAATTTAAAATTATTCTCCCAAATTTTAGGTACTGGAAACAACTTTTTTTTTCTTTTTTTTTTTTTTTTTAATCAGGATGACGATCCTACGCGCTAGGCCATCAATGTTCGCCTTTGGTGTGTCTATAATTGTCCACAAGTTCTAAAAACAACACCTTACTCACTACATTAAAATCCGATAAGAGTACATTTGGACATGATTGCAGGTTAGAGTGCAAAGACAGAACATAAAAACATAAACCAAACTAGAATCAGGAATGGAAGAATATTGATGTAGATATTTAAAAAAAAAAAAAAAACGGTGAACTTTATGCCCAGACATTTGGAAGCTGTCATAAGTACTGCAGCATTTCCTACAATATATTATTTCACTGAAACTTGTAAGTGTACGAACACCATTATGAGCCACTGTATATGCACAGATGTTGAATACTTTTAATTAAATTAGTTCTATGCCTTCTTTGAAAACAGACATTAATTACACATAAGAAGAATCAAACACTTCTTTTTTCTTGTTTACAGATCACACAATTATTGCCTATTATGCCATCATACATACCTGCTCAATACACCAAATATATTCTTCATCTGTTTCACCCTTCCATGCATAAACAGGCACTCCCCTCATTGCAATAGCTGCAGCAGCATGATCCTGAGTTGAAAATATATTACAACTTGACCATTGTACCTATGAAGTAAATATAATGCTTAGTATTACAGTTGAATTTCTATAACAAAACATAAGATAAACTAAAAAGTTTAACAAAGAAAATTTAGATGAATTGAAATGTTGAACTTGAGTTCGATTTCCCCCCCCAACTGCTAACGTAGTGAATACAAATTAAAAAATATATTTACAACTTAAGCTTACAATAAATGCCAAAATCTCCAAATAAATAGTGCTGGTTTGTGGAGAGAATGCTTAACACTTGATATGTCTGTGCACTTAGAGCTAATCATATGACATGCTTTTAAAACCTAGAACGTGCACACTTCAATGAAGATCTTTGCATTATCCTGTATTTTCAGTATTAAACACATTGAACTGTCATTATTTACATACCTTATCTTAATTAACAAACTGAAGATCCAGAAATGAAAGAAAAAAGAATACAATTTTTTTTTTTTTTTTAAATCTTCAAATTTGCAAAATATATTTAAGTAATGCTTACTTCTGCTCCTAATTCGAGAAGAGTTTCAATAAGTACAGCTGTTTGAATAGTCATATGTAAACAACCTGCAATTCTTGCTCCTTTAAGAGGTTTGATGGGTCCATATTTTTTCCTCAATGCCATAAGACCAGGCATTTCATTTTCTGCCATAATAATCTCTTTGCGACCGAAATCGGCCAGAGATATGTCAGCTACAAAAATGGAAAATACATAAATGTTCATCAGCTTTTCTTAATTTTCATTAATCTGATAAAATGTGCATAGTCATGCACAAAGTAAATTTAAAATAAATTTTTGAGTACTTCTACAACCTTTACGATTACAAACATACGAATTCAAAAATTTTTCAAACAAAGAAAGTATGAAGCTTTGTATAAATTTTAATAGTACATTAATAACTGAATATTGCGAGATGTTAATTTTCGTACCGCATTAATAATACGAAATTTTTTTAAACTTTCAAGTTCTTACTTCAGTTTAAAAGGCTAAAATGTTAAACAAAACATTACATAATTATTCATTTTTTCCTCCTCTGTTCAAAATGCTTCATACATAAAAGTAAAAAGCTTTGAGAGGGGAAAAGTTGCAGTAAACAGGGAACTTACCAACTTTATATTTGGGTTTTTCACTCATATTTAAGTATAAAAATCTAAAAGACTAGAAACCAATTCCTGAAACTATACGAGAGCAGACTACACTTCACTCACGTGTGTCACACTAACCGTCTGCAAACGAAATGGCCGCTTCTTTGCCGGTTTTTCTCTTTCCCTCCTCTCATCTCTTAATCTCCAACCGCTAACTTGATAGTGAGGTTCGTTACATCATCTATATCTTGCATAGATAATGACGCTTGTCAGGTGAAAACATATTTCGAAATTCAGTTATAATGAGCTTCGTAGGAGACCAAGGTTTAAATATCTCGAAGGTCAATATGTAGTGGTATTTGAAATTAAAGAGCAACATTGTATCTGAACCCACATAAGAGAAACGAACAATGTCACACTATGTCATGATTCAAGCAGATTAATATCCCATTCCCACGTTACTGAAATATAAATCTGCAGAAAAACGTTTAAAATTTTCTATAAAATAGGCATAAAAGCCGTAGGATAGTTTAGAAGTTTCTCTCAAATTCTCGTACTTCTGCATTTTGGAAAAATTTTCAAAATACTCATTACTCGAACTGAGCTAACCCAGAGATTTGAAGAGATTTGAAATAACTTTGAAATTTTGTAATTTTTACACTTATGTTGAGGGCGTTAAATAATATTGAAACAACTAATAGCGTCATTTCTAAGGATGATAAGGCTTACTGATAACGATTTTCGGTTATATAAAAGGACAACAACTCTCATACTTTTCACTAGATTCTCATTCACATCCTTGTTCTTCGAAGGATGATACAGATCTGAACTTACTTTTGTTAGTTACGTAACCAGATTTTATTCTATAGCTCTCCTCTCAGTGTTCTTCAATGAACGGGGTAGGAGTTCAAAATATCGAAAGACGCAATAGCGTATTACCCGTCCCAATATGTTGACAGAACTTTCGAACGAAAATATCTTGAAAATTAATATTTTATGCAATGAGATTTACCTGTTAATAATCTTGAGTTGAAAACAACACTCTGCGGACAAAAAACAGATCTTCGACTTGTCTTCGAAATCCGGTGTTAACGCATATAAACCATAACTGTTTTACGGTATATTTTTTGGTATTACTTCAACCTGTGTTCATCCTAATTTTCATTAAAATCTGTCCATCACTTCTGGAAATAATTGACCAAATAATTTTGAATGCCAGTGTACTTCTAAATCAAAAAAGATATTTTTGCTGGTAATTTTTGGTAAATTTAATGTGAAATTTCTCATATTTTGGAGATAAAAAGTCTCAACTGAAAGTATATTATCTTGAAAATGCAGTTTTAAACCACTGTAACGTTTTCCGAACTTCCGCGATGAAAATACTAAGAGACCAGTTTTTTTTTAAATATTTATTTTGAAATTTAACACAAGTTTTCTTGTAAATAAAAGGTAAATTAAGCAGCTCAATTACTAAAAGGGAAATACAGCAGCTTTCTCATCGCATGATTCGACTTACTTCTTTGGCACTTCTCAGAAAAAAGCCCCCCCCCCTTTTTTTTTTTTTACATTTTCATCCCGGGAAACTAAGGTTCGTATCCATTTTTTAACATGGAAATTAAGTACTTTTAGGGACAATTAATGAATAAAATTAAGTACCTTTCATGGAACTGAATAATTCAATTAAAGATATTATCTATGCCTGAACTTCACTTTTGTAACACCACCCTAAGAATAAAACAGATCCGTAAGTACGACACATTATATTAAACATAATTTAATAAATTAATCATAAAAAATTTTAACAATAACGTCAATTTTGTAAAATTTATCAAATAAGATTAAATATTTTACACTTATAATAGTTAAACATATTTTAAAGAAGATTAGTGACATTTTATTTTAAAAACCGTCAGCTCTATGCTGATTTTTTCTTTTATGTTTCATTTCGTCATGCAGTGTGTTCAGTCTAGAGTAGCGGTTCTCAACCTTTTGACTAACGCGTACCATCTCAACAAAAATTGAAAACCTTTAGTACCCTCACTCTTGAACAAAGCTGATTGCATAAATTTACGAGTGTTAGAGAAAAAAACTCAATCAGGATGTTGAGGTTTTAATTTTTGAATTTAATAGTTAAAAATACTTTGCTTCTTTGCATACCACCAGTGGTACGCTTACCACCGGTTGAGAACCCCTGGTCTAGAGGATTAATAAATAATAAGCAAATTTTATGTCAAACGGCATAGGTTAAAATTGTGAAGTAAAATCGCAATCAGCATGACCTTAGACTGGATGTTGCCACCACTGATGCATGCCTAGAGAGAGACCTGCTGATCAGAAGACCTGAATGCCCGATGATGGTAAGTTTAGAAAGTTAGTTATGCTTTGTCTGTCTGACAAAGTTAGTGTCGTAGCTTTGTATAGACTTCCTAGAGTTGTAACCCAGTTAATATACAAAGTAACCCAAAAAAGTTCTTGCTGTTTTGGACAGTCAGAAAGAAAAAGGTCATAAAACAAATAATAATCATCGCTAAAACTCAAAGTAATCACCATCGGCATCCAGTGTCTTTTGCCAACGAGTGGCTAACTGTGCGATGCCATCAGAATAAAACCAGGGAATCTTAGACGTAAAGAAGTCTGTAAGGGCCTTTTCGAGGTCTAGGCAGTTGTTGAACAATTTCCCATGAAAATGGTTGTCTAGGTAATGGAAAAGGTGGTAGTCTGTTGGCGCGAGGTATGGAGAATATGATGGATGGTGTAGTGTCTTCTAGCCCAGTCAATGGATGGTGTCCCTGGCCTCCTGAGCCACATGCGGCCTCGCACTATCGGAGTACACCATTACGATTGACCAATGCTGGCTCTTTATGCATCAGTGCCTGATGAACACGTTCCACTGTTGCGAGTACAGCCGTGCTGTGATGGACTGGCCCACTGGCGGGAGCTCATAGTGCACCACTTTGCAACTAATCCACCAGATACAGAGAATGATCTTACGTGGGTGGAGAGCAGATCTCGCAGTGTGAGGCACAGGGTCCTGTAGTAACAATCAATGTCTGGAACGCCTTGATGTGTCATACTGGACCCACGTTTCATCGCTGCTGAGTACTCGATCAAATATGGATGCAATGTGGTACCGAATAAGCAATGACAAACAGGCAGTGACATGCTCCTTCTTGTTTGCATCGGACAGTAAGTGGGGTATTCACTTGCTCAGCTTGTAAGCCTTTCCTATGCGGTGCAAATAGAATCTGATCCTTTCATCAGATACCTGGGAGTGTTCAGCAAGCTCACCACATGTTTGGCTACTGTCACTCTCTAGGCTGCTCTTAGGACCTCATCGTCCAGCGTTTGTGACCGACCGCTGCGTGGTGCATCACTGAGAAACATATCCCCTGACTTGAATCATTGCCAGAGCCGTTCGTTCGTTAACGGCATCATTCCCAAAGGCCTGGCAAATTCGGCGACTTGATTCTGCTGCTGACAGGTCCATTTTAAAATCATACAGCAAACAACTCCGAACGAGCGCCTTTGATGCGTCCATTTCAGTCAGTCGCTGTGTGAGTTACATTTGAAGTACCAATGCAATGCGCTTTTATACTCTTGGTCAATGTCCGGACTCCCATCCTAACCACTTCATCGCCAGTGGTTACCTTGTACTTTAAGGTTCCCATTAAGCCATTGAACCATCAGAGATGATAAGTTGTCTTTTATTATTTTAAGTCTCATTAACTGTAAGGAGTAAGGACTACGTTTTACATTTTTGTATTGTATCTTTTTTTTATATTGCATTTTTGTATTGTATTGTTTTACATTTTTGTATTGTATCGACCACAGTAAGGATTAATGAAAGGCAATAACTTACCTTAACTGCAAAGATAACTTTTAAGGGTGAGCAATTAGTTACAAATAATTAAAGTAGGTAGTTAGATACCTTTAGTCATTATAGATTTAAATGATCACTATTAAACTTTAATTAAAAAAAATTGTTAAAAAAGCACTAATTCGCAAACTAATAACATTTCACAGGTTAAAACACACGTAATTTAAGACATTGATTCTTAAATGATATTAGGATAATTATACATTCAAAGCTGCAAAACATAAATGTTTTGCAGACACAAAACACTACAAAATATTCATGAGCATTTGTTTGACTAATTCATATCAATTTGCTTCCCTTTACAACAATAAACCTATGACGTTTCACTTGATCTGGTAAATGTTATACAGTAAACTCTCGCTACAACGATACCCGATACAACAATAACTCCCTCTACTACAATAATGTTTTGTGATCCCGGTGATTTTGCATATAAACTAATGTTAATCTCTCCTCAATATTGCTATATTCTCTAGAACAATAAACCTCTGTAAAACGATTTTTTTCAATCTAAATTTCAGTATTATTTTCTCCCTTTATAATAATATTTTGATTTTCAAATGCTTTTTTTTTTCGTTTTCTTTTGTTATTTTTTCCGTCTATTAAAACTCATTGTGGATATTCAACTTATTCCTGAATAAATAGCTATTGTTCAGATTTCAAAACAGATGAAGACCACCCTTTTGGGTATTGGAGTGAGTGAGGGGGGTGAAGTGTAAATGTATACCTAGTCTCATTTCCCAGTAAGCTTTGGAATTCTGATAAGGTTTAAGGACATCTAGACCTGTCTGGTCACCTTGTCACAGAACAAGTGCCCTTTGTTAGAGGAACAGGGGGAGATGGAGGCGGGGTGTTGTTAAGTGACGTACTGAAAAGTGAGTTCAAAGGTTGTTTTATAGTCTTTAACGATTTTGAGTTCTACGCGAAACATTTGGTTTAAACTTTCTTTCACGCGATGTTGTTCCCTAAGATGGCAGGGCGAAAGCGACTATCTTTTCGAGATAAACTGAACGTTATCAATGATATTGATGAGGGAATGAAGCAGATTGATGCGGCTAAGAAACATGGATTATCGCAATCTACAGTTGCAACGTTCCTAAAGAAGAGAAAGCAAATCGAAGATGCTGTAACTTCAAATGAAATTAACCCAGAGCGAAAACGACTGAAAGTTGCGACAAATGAAAACATTGATGCTGCTGTTTTAAAATGGTTTCAAGAGATGAGAGCAACAAATGTCCCAATAAATGGACCTTTATTATGTGCAAACGCACGGAAATTTGCAGCAATGCTAGGGAAGGACATTTTTTCAAGCCTTCTGTCAACAAATGAAGAACATTTTCATGCACTAGACTCAATGCATACAGTATTGGTGAACTTAATAGTTACAAAAATCAATAAACAAACAAAAATATTGGATTATTTTCAATAAAAAGGTGTTTTCAGGTATGTGAATATTTCTGTGCTTATTTTCTGAATTTATCTTATTTATTTATTTTTTTAGTATTTAAACCACTATTATTTAGTATTTTACAAATTAATTTCTTCTAAATATAGACTTAAAAGTAGTATGTTATGCACCTTAAACTAATAATAATAATAATAAAAAAAAACTCTTATTAAATGCTCAAAATGTGTATATATAACAATATATTTATTTGGTCCCTAAAATATTGTTGTAAGGAGGTTTCACTGCAGTCCAAAACCCTGACATAGGCAAAGTAAATTATTGCCATGTCTGAAATTAACTAAAAAGTAGGATTAAAGGTTTAAATAAACCTCTTTTATTTAAACAAAACTTAGAACACAATTGCACTTGACATGAAGCAAATTATCGCCCTGTCTGAAATTAGAAAATTTAGATAAAATGAGTATAATAATATCCAAAATGGAATGAAGGTTTTAAATAAACACCTTTATTTAAATAGAACATAGAATATAAATACACATTCTTATTCTAACAAAATCAATGTAACTTAACAGGAAAAGTCAAATTCAAATTTAAAATGTGGACTAGAAGTGAAAGACTACTCATTTTTTAAGCTGGCTCAGTAACTTTATTGTAGTAATAAATTCAAATGTCAGCAACAATAAGGCAAAGCTGAATAATTACAAATTACCAAAGCTTACAGGAACTGATGCAACATGACGCAGAGGCCAGAAACACACTCTGTCTTACAATCCAAAAACCTCAGCTTAAATACTATCTAATCAATTTTACATTCTGATGAGGAAACAGAAAGGAGAAGTTATAGTAAAGGCTGAAACTATGAAGAACTGGTTAATTTATATAATCATAACTGTAACATATCTTTTAAGAATTTTTTTTCTCTTTAATGTTATTTCTTAAGAATAATTCCAATTTCTTTCCTCAATAAATTTCCTTTTCATTTTAGAATTTTTGGATTGAATATAAGATTTCTGTTATTCTAAAAAGTATACATATTTAGAACGTACAGAAGAAGCTGCTAATTTTATTTCTTTAGCAACATGAACATCGAGAATAAATATGAAGTGATGATCAGGGCAGGTTAACGAGCCAGTGTGGCGGAATGTTTAGAATTTAGTGATGCACAGAGCAACAAAATCTAGAAAGGGCAAAACTTTTAAAATTTAAGACAGGTACCGGTGGCAGAATTTAGGGAGGCAACTAGGCAGCAGAACTTAAGACCCTCAGAGATTACAACAGGTGGAAAAATGCCTAGCACTAGCTCTGTGTATGATGCATTGAGACATATATGATGAATCTCGTAAATTGTCAGTTTTCAATTTCTTTATTAATAGGAAAATTTCTTTCTCTAGATGCTTGTCCATGTAACAAGATTAGAAACATTTTTAATATTGCCCATGATTGTACCTAGTGAAAAGAATAAAAATAAATGGAAAATACACAAGTTGAGCAAAAGACTTCTAGAATCAGAAGTAAAACATTCAAATATTATGTTTTTGTTGTTTTTTGAAAAGGTGAGAAATTCGTTATAAATTTCATGTAAAACACATCCATTATGTGTTAGTACCATGAAGACATTTTTCATTTTGTCACACTTTTCTGGAATCTTCTAGAATCGTAGGTCTATAAATTTTGCTTTCAAATCCTTCTAAACTTCCCAAGGGGTAATGCCTAAAATCAGAAAGAAAAATTATCCCTACCAATCCTGTACCAGCAAAAAGCCATAAGTATTAAAAAAAAAAGTGTAAAATGAATTTAATAGAAAAAACTGATGCATATCCCAAGAATTCTGAATATTCTGAGACAATTACATGGGGAAAAACTTTTACCATGAAATATATATAAAAGCCATTTTAAAATCATTACATAGCTATTTTGCTCTTGCTAAGAACTGTTTCATAAAGTATACTATACAGCATTAATTACTTTATTTTTCAGATTCAAAATATTGTAATAATAAGTTGCCAGAATGGAAAGTAATGTCACTTTATAATATGACAGCGAAAAATAAAAATGTTTTAATGTTATTTCTTAAGCATAATTTTAATATGTATATTACCATTATTTTAATGAAATTTATCAATGTTATAATGTTTTAAAAATCATCAAAAAATTTAAAAATTTTGCATAGAAATTGATCTTAAAATAGCCAAAATGTTGATAACTTGCCAAATATTGAGCAGTTTAATAAAAAAATTAACATCCCCAAAACAGAAAAGTTATTTAAGAGAAGAAAAAATAAATTATTTTGAAATACTAATGTTTCACTTCTTGACCAGAAACTCGGGTATCACACTGTTTATATTAGAAATAGGAATAAATTCAAACGATAACCCATGAAATGCATATTTGTCAGTGAATCGCCAAAAATATTTCTCCAAAATGCTAACTGACACTCAAAAACGACACTTGTAAAAACAGAAAAAAATTTCAGAAGATTAAAATTAAGGAACTTCTGCAGCTTTGGGCCAAAATTAAAGATTTTAAAGGACCAAAAATTGATTGTAAAAAACCTAAGGACTTTTATGGATTCTTAAGGACCATGTGAACCCTGGAACCAGCAAGTCTTTAACAAGCTTTTCCTTGATCACTTTCCAGCCAATAAATTGTAGCTGTAAAGTATGCCTAACTTCCGTGATGGAAATACTAAGACCAACTGTCTTTTCAAATATTTATTTTGAAACTTAACACAAGTTTTCCTGGTTAAATAAAAGGTAAGTATAACAGCTCAATTATAGAAAGGGAAAGACAGCAGCTTTCCTGTCGTATGATGCGACTTACTCCTCCGGCATTTCTCAGACAAAAGCCCCTTTTTTTTACATTTGCAATTAATGGAAACTGCACAAAAGGGGGCTGTCCTTAACTAGTTTTTCCTTGATCACTTTCCAGTCATTTCGGCGGACACTGTGGCTTTTTCCTAAGAGAAACGAGAAGTTCTCTAATATAAAGTTGATGTTTTTATCAAAACTGATGACTGTCACAGCATCCTTTCTCAATTTATTATTAGTTTGCTTACAATATCAAACATTACTAGATTTTTTTACAACATTAAATGGGTTACCAATATTCTACCAAATCAAATCAATGGCAAAGGACAAAAAAATTACAATACAGAAAACAACCTCTCGTAACTTAAAAAACTCAATATCTAACAATACATTTCCTATTCTAGACAGATGGCAGGTATTTTAAAACACAATATATGAAAGACTTATAAAATAAGATAACATAATTCTGATAATTTGTGATTAGTAACTTTGCGAATGCTTGCAATCCATGCTCATTTCTCAATGTAAATTAACAAATGCTGATTTAAAAAAAAATTAGCATGGCAAATTTGATGATGAATTTTATACATATATGCAAATAAACTATTTTAATAAATGCACACAATACTTATTACATGTTTTGATCAAAGAAGTGATTTTATTGTATTAGTGGAATTATGCTGCCTTTTAAAGTCACTTTGAGTTACATGGTTTATCCATGCTATATTTTTTTTAAACATTTCTTTTAGCACTGAGTTTCAAATTAAACACACTGCTAAGCCTCCTCAAAGGTGGTTGGTTTCCTGAAAATAGCAATTCTGTATATATCTCAAACTGAAAGTTTTACTGCATAAATAAACAAATTTGCTACAAAAGCTAACTCTAAAAGAAATAAAGTTTTGGGATTTTCTGAATTCCATTTAGTGCTTCTAATACTGTTTATCATTCATAATCACATTCATAGCATGTGATTTTCACTATTGAAGGGTATAATCATATATCAGACTCTCAATACTTGCAACTGTTATCCCTGTCAATTTAAACTCATCTTTTGATGAAAGAGACTTTAATGAGAGCCACTTTTCACATAATGCATTAATTTATTTTCATTAAGTCTTTATAAACTCAGGTCTTCTTATTTTTTTTTTTGATGAATAAAAAGGAATCGCTCATGTGTTGGAAGACTAACCAAGAATACCACTGGTGACTGCAGTCAGTAAACACTAAAGCTACCTACCTTCTCCTCAAAGTGTATCTATACAATACTTTTAAAATTTAACAAAAATTAGATATTTAATATATTATCACGGTGACCATGAAAGTTGCATCATCGCTCCTGTGGAATTATGAATCAATTAAAACTTCTTTACTAAATCAATATTCAATCTGCTTCATAAAAAGGTTTTTGTAGATTTCTACTATTCTGTTCGCCCTCCCCCATTTTACTGGAAGTTCTGTTTAGAATGTTATAATTACAAACTTCCAATAGGCTAATTTTCTTTATCTATTACTGTTTGTCAGCCATATAATGCCCATTAATACACAGTTTTTTTATGGTAGGGTCTCATAACTTTGAAAATAATCCACTGTTTGCTGTTATTTAGAAGGCAGTTTTCAAATTTTAATCATTAAAAGAATACAACATTAATATATCCTTGTTCATAAAAACAAAAGATGACTTATCAAGAACCAATATGGGTTATGTGAAACGAAAGTATGTATGTTATGACTGTGTTGTCACATCTCGTTTGTAAAATAACTGACGCAAAATCAGGCTGCTTAGCGACAGTTTCACGTTAGATGGGGAAATATGTAAGTATCAAAAATGAATTTTCTTTTGCTATTTTTCAATCAGAGGATTATTTGTATTTTTAAAATGCAACAATAAACATACATTTAAAGTTTTGGCAACACATGCACACAATTTTTATTCATAATAATTCCAAAACATTTATCATCACAATATGCAGATTTATTTACAAGATTCAAAGTCATCTTTGGTTACATTAATCCAACTTATATGTTGTGCAGGAACACAATTATACACAACTTAAAATCAATACATTATATGCTTGCCAAACAAGATTCAGATAATGTGATTTTTGCTGTTAAAGGCTATAATTATTGCTTCATAGAGTCTTGATAATTAATGTGCAAATCCAATGATATTTTGAGGCTTTGATGGTCCCCATATGGAAAGAAATAACTCAGCACTTTTTTTTTTTTCCTTTACCATACAGAAGTTCAATAAGAAAAGTACGTTACCAAGTAATGAATTAGAGCTGAAAAACCTGCTGTTTTACATACCTAATAAATAAAAATAACAAGCATATATGCTACATTACTTCTCACAAACTACAGAGGCACATTTATAATAATATTCTTTAGGAAAATTTAGAAAGCAAGAAACATAACAAGGACATTTAAAACAACACTGCAGTACTTGTCACATATTAAATTAACACATTAATTTTTATAATATATTTTTTAATAGTCACATAATTACTCTAAATTTACATTTTGGTATCAACTATCAAGTTATCTAAAACGCAAAAAATTTATGTTACAAAAAGGAAGCTAGAATTTATAATTTAAAAATATCAACCCATTTACAATATAAATAAACATTTTCAATATACAACTAGCACCATACTTATGAATAGAATGCATTAAACTTTCTTAATATGTAAAACAAAGGGTGTAAAACATTATTATTAGAGATACATTAAAAAAAAAAAAAAAAAAAAAAAAAAACCTTTAGATTCTCCATTTCTATTACAATGAAGCTTATTTTTCACCAAGACACACTCTAGACTAAACATTATATACACAATCAAAATATACAACCAGCAACAATATAAATTAGGTTACTTTCTGAAATATATTATCATAGCCTATTAAATCCAATTTCTATGTATAACAAACATTAACAAGTTCTGGAATGATATTTAGACATAAAAAATTTCCCTTGGCTAAAATATGGCAATACTTAATGAATTCAAGTGACTAGAAAACTGGTATGTAGTTATCTATTTTTGCCCGATGTCGCTGAGCTACACATTCGGAGATCCACACAATATTTCTACATTCCTGTTCTTTTAGCTTCACATATGCATAAAATACTCCATAATGAAACTGCTGGAGAAAAGCACTGCTGTTCAGACGCACCTAAAAGAAAAAAAAAGTCAAAAATAATAATTATCCATAAAATCACAGTTATTTATTTTACTTATGCCAAAGGTGAACAATATTTCACATTCAATATCATTTTAATCGATACAACAGAGTGAAAAGAAATTAAAATTTGTGCAATGATGAAATATACTGCTTGCTTTACATAAATTTTTGTTCCTGACAACTGTGAATTACAGGAAAAATAACTGTAGAGAATGTTGAGGGTTTTACGAGTGCACAGAAGCCGAAGTTATAAAAGTTAACTGATTTGATTTAAACTGAGTTCAATCCCTTTAATTTTTATGGGATTATTGTCAATAAAAATGAATTAATTTAAGATTATTAATTATATGCTATGCTTTTTTGATTAGGATTATTCAAAATTTAACATCTTATATATCTTAATAAATTTTTTTTATCTAGTGTACACATTTTTCTCTGGTTAACTATAAGCTACTAACATGGAGTCTATCAGACTCTGCTCTTTAACAACATTTCTATTAAAATTATTTTCAAATGTTCCATGCTCTATTTAAACTAGTTTCAATAAAAAAATAATTTTATTATTAACTTTATTGTCTTTAGGCACATTCCAGAACACCTCATTACTGTTAGAAAATAAGACATCAGGAGTTAAGGCTAATTTTAATGTTCTTTTTTCTTGGATATGCAGTTTTAATGTAAAGTGCAATGCATTCTTTGAAAGATTTAAGTGTTCATTGCCCTAAATCATATAGTAACATCAGTGTTAAATGAAAACATATAAAATGAAGTTGATGTGCGCAAGTGATTAGATAAGAAATGTTCAGAATTACAAGCTCATTTTTAATGGCTCTGTACTTGTGTAAATATGTATAGCACAGCCGTCATTATAAAAAACGTTTGATTTCATTTGATTATTTGAAAACATGATGTCATCCATGTGAAAGGAGACATACTTATGTTTTCTTCTTTTCCTAACAACACTTGCAAAACTGGACAACAAATTTCAGTGTATGTAGTATACCTTAAAAAACAGAGGCAAAATCTATGAAACTACTAATAACAGATATAGCTATCCATATTCAGAGAGTATTTGATTGCCACTTTAATTTAGCCAACAATATATTTCTACCTAGGTGCAGCCAGGTAACACAGCTAACTATTGTACTAGCTGTTATTGAATAGCTAAATGTTACAGTTGTTGCAGCTAAAAGCTGCTACTAGTGTTACAATTATTGTAACCAAGCCAGACATTATGATTAGAATAGTCATAAACAATTATACAGAACTGTAAGTGATGTAATTCAGTTAAAATTTTAAATATGCTTGTTTTATCCAAATTTTTACAGAGGCACAGATGTCATTGAAAATCAGTATTTTGCTGGTTGTACACTGTAATCTGACTGATAATACATACAGTACATGATACTGATAATACATATGTACAATAGTACTGATAATACATATGCTGGCTGATAATATGGAAAGTGTGATGTGAATTAATACACTGCGAGGGTGAGTAATTACAAGTTTCACTTATCATAGCCTAGTAAGTATGATACCATTTAAAGTATTAACCTCTTTATTGAATTATATGAGAAGAATGCTTTAATTCTAAATATAAATTAGAGTTAAATCAAGGTACAAATTTTATAAAAAATATTTTTTAAAAATTATTGGCTGATTTGATAACTTAAATTACAACAAAATGATTTGATAGAAATTATTAAATGGACAAAAATAATATGATAACCTATAAATTTTACTTCAGTGATCATAAGAAAATACCTGCAGAATTCTCATGCCATATATTATAGAAAAATGATGTTTAAAAATATTTATATTACTAACTATATAACACAATATAGAAATTGTGATCAGCATATATAACACTATCTTTCACACTAAATATATAAAATGATTATATATTTCAGTAACAAGCAAAATAAATATGATACTCCCTTGTTACATAAAATATAAATTCACTGAAATATTTACTTCATGTTCAAAGAACTTGTCTTCAAGAGTTTTTTCACCAGGGTTTGTACCAGCACCTTCAAATAACTTCTGATATTCCTATGATAAGAGAGAAAAAAGCAGATTGCAAAAAAGATAATAATTAATCTTCATAACAAACAAAAGAAAAAATTTCAAAACAAATTATTCAATTCAATTTAGAGCACAGTAACCAAACACACAATGCAAGGAATATACATCAATACATGTAGATTCTTCATTATTTGATTTATTTAAAACTAATACAAGGCAATCATATTTGGTGGCAACAATCTGAAAAGCAATATGCCATTCATAATGAACCAATGCAAAACCCTATTTTGAGATTAATAGCTTCTCTTGTGCTCATTTTGAAGTGAAATATGAGATGATTCCGAAGGTAAATCCAAGCTCATTTTTGATAAACTGAGGTATACATGACAGGGAAAAAAAAAAAAAAAAAACAGTGCAGCACTCACAGAAAAGTTCACTCAAACTAGAGCAACAATAAAGTTACACTGACATATATTTTTAAAAGATGAAACGGAATTTTAATTTCTAGTAGAGATAGTATATGTTAATTTATTATTTTCATTATTTGGAAGAATCCAAGGCACTAATATGCATGAATCAATCTACAACACAGGAAATATATGTAAGTTACTTAGCATTCATAATGGTATTTTTAATGAACTTAAAAAACTAAACACACTTGCTGAAAACAAAGTAGACAAAACAGAAAGACATTTCCTGTCAATCTCCAGGAAAATGAAATTTAGCTATTTTAGCTAATTTTCTATTCTTTATTGAGCAGACTGCCACAGGATATTTCTTTCCATTTTCTAAGTTGGAACTGAGTATTTTACTACTTTCAATAGAAAGAGCGGGAGTAAGGTTGGGGTTACTGAAATTTCTAATTTCCAAACACTTCAAAAATGGAATCTATTCCTACCGATCATCAAATAATTGACCATGCTGTTTCCTTTTTAAACAAGAATTTAAGGATGAAATATTCTGAGCTTCTTTTTTCTTTTTCTCATTCTCTGAACACCTTTCCCAGTTCAGTCTCTTTTACTCAATACTAGTCATATTTCATAATTTAATTTTTAAACTGCAACTGCTAGAAATGATAGAACTAAATCTTTGGTGGATATACATGTTTTCTACTAAGTTCAGTGCTTTCAGGTCGGATTGACTGTTAGTATAGTTTTATATTAGTTGGATCAAATTTATAACAGATATAAATTAACTTACTGCTTATGCAAAAAACTAGCACAATCAAGTTTTGCTAAAAAAAATGGGAAGAATAGACAAAACTGAAAGATTGAAGTAGTTATATTTGATAGGCAAGCACTGCCCAAATGAAATTAAGGAAAGGCAGGAAGTAGTATATCCTTGAAGATGATGAAAATGTTTATTTACAAAGAGGAAAATTAGGTGGATGGCTACCAAATTAGATACATTGCCGCTCAAGTTCTCCAATGGTGCCAGTCATTACCTTACTGAATTTTTATTTATGTGCATTTATTTTTCAAAATGCTACAATGATGTTTTAAAACACATATTTTTTTCAAGATGAAAAAGGGGAAATACAAACTGAAAGAATACTGCTAAAATTACATCAAAAGAGCAAATCACGATTTATAACAATCAAAATAAAAAGCTTAAACTTACAACATAATAGTCAGCAACTGCTTTGACTTGTTCATATTCCTCAGTTTTTGCTAAAGCCTGTAAACCACCAGGATATAGTTTGCCACAATGAGGGTAAAGTTTAGCTCTATCATCTTTGGTAAGTTCAGTTCCAAATGAATTGATGGTTATGATAAAAGCCCTTCTGTCTGCTTCAAACTAAAAATAAATTCACAAACATAAATGAATGCTTTTTTTTTTTTTTTTATTCTGATCAGACAAATAATAAAAATATATAAGCATTTTTTATGTTTACAATATCTTAAGTTCATGATTTCTGGTTGAAAATCCAATACTGAAATGTACTTGAAAGTAAATTAAAACGTTAGAGAATATCTAATTTTACCAGAAAAATGACTATTTCAATTTCAAATGAGAGTTGGTAAAAATTGTTTGCAAAACACAAATGGGTTATTTTATTCTGCACTATGCAAAAGCTTTTGAAATAAAAATAAACTTATTCAAAGCTAAAGTTCATGAAACCAGAATACAATGGCAATAAACTGATGATAATTGATAATTTATTTTAAGAGAAAGTTAAAACTAATGATTAAAATGTATGAACACACACACACACACACACCCAAAAAAAAAGAATTCAAACAGCAGGTAATAAAATTTAAATGAAGCAACATGGCTTAGATGACAATAACAATCAGCTAAAATCATTTAACATTGTTGCATTTTTCTTTTCTGACACCAGTTGTTACGTTATTTTCTTTTTTCACGTTCGTATGGGGTTCGTGTATATTTGGAGTGAATAATGACGACAGCACTTGATGAAGTATTGAAACACACTTTATTTACCAATATTAATCGGGACTTTTCGGTTCAGTCGTTCCCGGAGCTTAACACACTCTCAGAGGCACTGACGCAATAACTAAGAGATCTGCACTCGACACCCACTTGCACCGGCCCGGCTGTCAACTCCATCGACTCCGCACAGACTGACTAACTCGAGACAAACTATCTCACACTCTATGCAGAGCACTCTCTATCAGCTCGCTAGGTGAGGCACACTCGATACTAACTAACTCTCTGTGTACCAGCAGGGTTTATATAGCTTTTGGCTGGTGTTCGACAACATTCTGGGCTAAACCAGTAAGAATTTGTTCCAGAAGGTTCTCCATCCATCCATGGCATATTACCAATTTTGTCGCCAAATGGGCGATTTCTCACCAAATGTGGCAACCATGCCTTATCTTGCCATTTTATCATAACCCTAAAACTGCTTTGCGGGGAAGCTATTTCACTGCTCCTGGACATTTTGTAACAATATACAAAATGCATAAAAATAAGAAAATATTACATTATAATTAAAACATATTAGATAAAATTATAAAAATTAACACCTTTGAAAATCTAGAAAACATCAGCATAGAGTCATTTCTTAATACCTTTTGTCACAGTGAATAAAAGATATTAACAGTATAAATAAGATAAAAACACCCAAATAACCTTTATTAGAAAGAAAATTAAGAAAATGTATTGTTGAATGACCTTATAGCTCCTGAATCAGCATATCCTTTCTTGTCAACAGATATTAAAATGAATAATCAGCAGATGGACTAAATGATTTCTTTTTATAGCATATAATCAACACAAAACGTTATATCCTTATTCTTGCACTCCTTATTTATTTGTAACTAATTAAAAAATTTTTGGACATTTAAATAAGATTTTCCTGGATGTACTTCAAAGATACAAGCAGTAGACTTCTTTAGAAGGTTTGATATAAGCATTTACCTTGCACCATTTAAGAAACAAATATTTATACAACACCTGTACTTCATCCTATTTACTACTGCAAGAACTAGCCATCCCTCCCTCCTACACAGTAAAGCTTGTTTACTATTTCCACTCTTCAATCAGATATACAAATTTAAACCCAAATGATTTATAAAAATTGCAGAACTTTTTTTTTTTTTTTTTAAACAGAACAAAATATATAATATGTCTATGCTAGTAGTTCATGTTTGATCATTATAAAATATCCACTGACAAAAATAAATTAAGGCCCTTAAAAACAATTATGCTTACAATAATCCAAAATAAAGTATAAAATATACTTTCAAGGTTATTGAATAATACCATCAGAAAATCTTTGTGAATCAGGATTATACTTCATCAACCAAGAACCAAGATCACAGGTGACTTTGAATTTATCATATTATATATTTATCATATATCATATTTTGGAATTAAAATTACAAAAACCTGAATTATACAGAGCACTAGTACTTAAAAATCCAGGCAGAAGTACACAAAATTAGATTTAAAAAATCATCCAAAAATTGAAGGAACTTTTTTAATGAGCTAAGCACCAGAAAGTGATTTGTTCTGCTTAGCTCAATTTAAGAGCTGATTGAATAGGCAACTGCTACAAGACCTATATTATATTTGGGAATGACAAAGAATATATGATGATGATGATGATAATTTGGGAATGGCAAAGAAAGACTGAAGCACATAAAGATGATCCGTAATGTACAACAAAATTGGAAGTCATGATGATGCAATAAAATGCAGTTGTAGCAGATGTAAATCATACTTGTTTAATTGTAATTAAACATTTTGCAGCCACAAACTAATTGGCACACTAATTGTGCCCAATCTACAAAATTTGCATTTTTGATAATGCAACAGGAAGAAATCAGCACAGCAGAGTCTTAGTGGCAACAAAAGAACTGGAAATTTTGAGTTTACATTTCGAATTAGCTATATCATCATCAATATGCGAGGGATAAAAAGAGGAAATAACCATATATATATATGTAAGATAAAAAATATGAATTATCGTTTAAGTAATGGATAAAATAAAGTGTTTATCACTACTTGAATTCCGAATAAGGCCAAGATCATTGTAACTTCGAAGTACAGTGTATGAAAATTTATTCTTAACAACCGTTATATGCGATGTGTTTTGAAACAGGTATAAAAGTGATTTAACAGTGTCTTCAAAAGTGCCTATCTTAGTGAAATATGAACAGTGCTATTGAAATGTGATTTATTTTTCCGGTTCCAAATTAATTGTTCAGAGTTGTTTTCTATTTAGAAAATTTAAGTGACGATATTGAAAAAAATATGTTTTGATGTTACATGATAAGAACGTTTTTTGAATTTCTCTCCACGTGCATCATTATAAATAACATACTCAATAATCGGTTATATTTTGAAATCTGAAAATGTAATGTGGCACTACTTTATCACAATATCAAATTAAAATGTAAAAGTACTCTAAGATTTTATTCAGGGAAGACTATTAAATTTTATTGCTATTAGTAAATATAAGTTTTGTCAAAAATTTTGAATTAATGTAAGAATTTTGGAAGTATTTTGTTGACAAGATAAGAATTGTGGAATTTTGTAAGTAAGATTGTAAAAATATGAATTTTTAGAATTTTGAATTACTTTGAGGAATGGTCTCTAGGAATATAAAGAAAGAATAAATTGACAATATTAAATATTGTTAAAGTTATAGAAATACTAAGATTTAGAAATTGAATAAACATAATAAAATTTATATGAGAATTTAAGCGAAAATGTATTAAATTTGTTGGAATTATGGTAATGAATTATAATTATTAATTGTATATTAAATTTGAGAGTAGTGGTTAGAAAAGAGAAGTTTTTAGGAAACAGATAATGGGCATAAGCCGCATATATATAATAAGAAATTTTAGGAGAGCAGGGATAAGTGGGATTTTGTTTTTTTTATATGATAAGGGATTTATTTTTAATAAGGAATAGCAGTGCAATTCACATAACCACTCGTGAAAAATTAATACATGGAGTAAGTTTAAAGTGGATTTGCTCAAATAGCTGGATCTGTGTGTATTAGGAGAAATCTTCTAGTTTGTGTAAAGAAAATTTTAAAATATAGCAATAAAAGTAAAAACCATAATTTCAATAATGCTATTACAAATGATAAAATATTACTTATAAATGTGAAAATTAGTATGGTGTAAAACTTTAAGCTTTATGATATTTCATAATAATTAATGGGTATGTAAAATTTTTATAACTGTTATCTTGTATTCAAACATTTTTAGAAATCCTTCCCCGAAGTATCAAAATTGTGATGTGAATGATTCAGAAACAAGAACTTTTTACAGATTGGACTCTTAATCTTTATAGAAGGCTTCTCTATCACTCTATCTTTTTCTTTTTTAAAAGGGGGGATATGCAAGATAAAAAATATGACAGCAAACTTCTAAATTTAATTGCCTATAACCTCTTTTAATTTTATTTCAGTTGGGGATATCTTTCTCTGTTCTTAGAAATAGTGCCATAAATCTAAACTGCGTCATTCAAATTAATCATACGATCTTACATATTACTTACTGCAGATATCTCTTACCCAATCAAAATAATTGTAAACCAAAACTAACTCGAACTGAAACTTGACTTGCTCCCTTCTTCCTCTGAAGTACAGCGACATGCTATCTTCTGGCTTGTGCTTTCTTCTTGGCCAGACACTTTGCTGCGATCATGTATGTGCTGCTATATGCGCTTCTATGGCATTAATATCAAAATAGTGAATGTTCTGAAAGTGGGCACGATTGGAGTGCTAAGTGAATTGTGGCCACCAAAATGTGAATTTAAATAAATACGGAATTTAATGCGGCTCGACTGCTTATTCTTCTTAAAAATGGATGGACACTCTAAGCATCAAGTATCTACGCTTCTGCGTCTCAGTGTTTTTACATTCAGAGCTTACAGAATTGTGTTAATATTACATTTATTGGTTATACAGGATTGGACTATGCTACAAATCTCAATGGAACATTTATTCTATGGTTGGATTTCTGTAAAATAGTATCTGCAAATTCATCATTCTAACAAATATCACCGACTATTCAAATATGTTGTGCTATCATTACACACATATATATTTCTCCTTAAATATCAAATTTTTAATATAAAGATTACACTAACCTGGAAATTTCAAATAGACTAATCAAAAGGTAATTATTTAAAACTTAAAACTGAACAATTAAGGAGCATTGAACCAAAATGGTTCAATATATAGATATATATAATAAATTTTAATAATCTGAATTCAGTATTCTCATAACAGGTTATTTACCAACTATGATCAAAACTAAAGAAATTGATAACATTACTGTCCTAAACCACACAAAAATAATTAAGTAAATACAAAGAAGTTACATGCACTTGTTTTTATTACATTACCAGAAGTTTTACTGCAGTTTTATATTATTATATTAAATTATACAACATTGCCAGAAGATATGGCACTGAAGAGGACCCATCATATCCCTTGATGGATGGTAATTACTTTAAGCACATTAAAAAAAGCAGTTTAAGCAATTTTGTTTCATATTTATTATTTGAAGACCTATCCTATTTCTCATTTATTATCCTATTTCACATTTATCAGCAGTCATCATTTTACTATTATAACCAGATATAATACAAAACTGATGGCCATCACTGATAGCCATTTCATTCACATAAATATTGTCATTTTGGTTTTCCAATATGGCCAAAAATTTGTCTCCTTTATTGACAGATCACTATCACAATTCAAAAGGTGATGGAGCAGCATTGAAGGTGTTGTTCCTCTCATATTCTGTATAATTATTTGTTTAAGGTTACATCACAAACATTCTATTGTCTGAGTGTTGGCACCATAGCAGAATTGATAAAATTAATCTGATTTACTGTTGGGTACGTGCACTATGTGATTTATACTCACAACCCAAGGCAAATACAGAATAGTTCACATGTTGTGAGAATACACCAAATTCTAAGTATTTAATAATCTAATTATGTGGGTCGTTTGTGCCTTTCAAAACGATTTAAAACTACGCTTACTATCGAAGTGTTTTTAATTGTCATTAAATTAAATAATGAAAAAAAAAAGTATAGTATGTACTTCTTTAAAAGATCTTAAAATAATATAATGTATATATACAGTCAAAAGTCTTTAATCCAAACGTCCATAATCCGGACCTCAAAGCTACAAACTTTCTGCGCATGCGTCAACGCATTACCTTCACGCATGCGTGTTTGTGTAAAACGAAATGGTAATAAAGCTAAGCTAATTATCTAATTATTCTATTTCAGTTAATGTTGCAGATTGCGTTGGTCCTTAATCTTCTAAATGGAATTCCCGCTTAGATTTTTTGCAGACGTTGATTTTTAAAAGTAAGCTGAATTTTTGATTATGTCAAAAAGAATTTCGATTCTGGAGCTATAAAAAAGGCACTACAAACGAAAGCATTTCGATTGTCCATCAACAAAAGTGGAATTGCTGCAAAAAATGGTAAGGCATATTCCTTTGATTCTCTAAACTTCCGAAATATGTTTACCAATTTTACGCCTCTGCGACGGGTGGGGGGATGCGGACAAATAACTGGAAGTTGATTGTCCACCACTATCCTTATTCAGAGCAGATGTTTTTTTATTTTATTCGGCTTATAATAACTTACAAAATCATCTCAAAGACTCCTCTTGATATGATTTAATCAATTCCTCGTTTATAAATATCATAGTTACTCATCAATCGTTTTCTGTTGCAATTTTTCTAATTTCGACTATGCTAATGTATCTTAACCGGGCTTCAAACTCATGGTACACTTGGGCCACAACAAGGTAACTTAGCTGGCCCCAAAAAAAAAAAAAAAAAAAAAAAAAAAAAAAAAGCAATATTCATAAGCAAAAGTGCATGCACATGCATGCACAATATATCGTACCAAAACTATGATTGGAACTGAGACCATGAGTTCGCCACATTTGGCTATCGGGGGATGTGTACAAGTTCTGAGTCCGAGCCCAAAAGCGGAAGTAGCTGAACGAAACTACTCACACGCATTTGTAATTAAGTAGTATTGGTGTCAGCCTCGCTTGAGTTTCAACAACACTGAATAAATTATCGTTAATTACTTAGCAGTAAACATTTAATTTTTTTCTTCGTTGATATGTTATTTTATTATTATTGGGCCGTATGCGGCCCGAGGGCCGCGTTTGACATCCTTGCTTACACATGCGCGCATTGAAAGAATGTGTAATAATAAAAAATACATATTAAGCTTTTTTTTTTTTTTAAATTTTGATACACTTTAATCATAATGCTCTTTATTTCATAAAAGGTTTCATATTTTAATTTTTAATTTCTGCATCCAACCTTACCAGATTTAAACTGATGATCTATAATCCGGAATCGCCGAAGTCCCGACGAGTCCGTATTAAAGACTTTTGACTGTACTTGTTTAATGCTTGTTGGTAAAAAAAAAAAAAAAAAAAAAAAAAAAAAAAAAAAATTACCATAGACGAACGAACATCATTTGGCAAATATGCAACATAACGCATAAAAATTGAAGTAATTCGGTAAAGCAAATAGGCCTGTTCTTTGTGTATTCCGTAAAATACTGCTCAGCTTATCCTCAAAATTTATGGCCCACAGACCACGTATGACCAGACATGCTTATACAATACAAAGTCTGAAGACTAGTGAGACCACAAATTCTCAGATTTTAGATCATCAGTTTAAATCTAATAAGATGATATGTAGAGATGGCAACACTGGGCTATAGCCAGTCCTGTTGCACCTTTTAAGAAATTTTAGAATTTAGAGCACTGAGCAAGAAAATTTAGGGATAGTAACATTTTTATAATTTAAGAAGGTGTCAGGCAGCAGAATTTAGAACTAGTAGAGATTGCAAAGGGCAGCAAAATGTGTCAGTACCAGCCTTCCTCCCATGCAACCACAAAAAAGCTGAAAGTGTGATCTTGGCAAGCATCATTATATCTAAAAATGTATTGTTATTGGCAACAGTGAGACTTTCCTAGCCAGCAGGTGTTGAAAGTGACACGAAGGAATCTCATTTGAGAAAATAATCACATTTATGGCATACCCACTTTCTTTTCTTGAGAATTATATTGTTTGTTTTCAGATTCTGAATGGTGAGAATTTTTTAAAATATTTTATTACCCCAGAATGGCTATCAGGCTCATAATGGCATCTTGCACCAAATCACTTTCCAAATTGTTGCCACCAAATACCAAACATTATCGTCCAGTATTATATTTAAAGAAATTAAACAATGAAGAATCTGCATGAATGTATACATGTCGCTTTTGTAAAAGATAAAACATTTCACTAAAATTGATACTAATTTTTATAAGTGCATGCTTTTTGTTAAAATTTTTATAGCTCACCACTGCCCATATAATCTCGCACTTCATTAAGAAAATGAATACGTCTTATGTAGCTATCTTAAGGTAATAATAATACACGTACTTTTAATACTTTTCTAATGAATTTCATTTTTTTAAACAATGAATAAAAAATAACTGAAAGTATTGTAATTGTAGACTACTTACAGCCAGTATTTCACACATTACTTCAGCAGTGATACCTCCAAGTTCTTTGCAGAAGTTGTAAAATGCCTCCAGATAGGCCTATGAAATAGAAATGTTACATTGTCCATAAAATTGTGTGTAAACTAAAATTATGTTAAAATTTTGAATACATGAATAACACTGCAAAAAATACAATATGAAGACTTTTACTGCATACATAATATATATTAAATGGACCTGCGGCAAGAGGCTTTGTACCATAATCCATTTTAAATTTTAAATTTCAGAATTTTAAAATTGCCTAAGTTATAATTTACTTTAATTATACATCTTATATATATATATTTCTTATCTATGAAGCAGAAGAACACTTTGAGACAGAATGTCAAAGCAATTTAGCATAACATGTATTTAGTGATTATATATATGCAAATTAGTTAAACTAGAACTTAATACATGAGAATTAAATTTTCAATAATAATCGTACATAGAACTAAAATGATGTAGAAAGGAATGTTAATTTCTTCAACAAATAATCTTGCTTTTGATAGTGTAATCTGTTTTTATGTTGTAAATCATTTATTTATACACTATCAGAATATCTGGGCTTTGCTTTACTGAATTCTCGTTCTGATTTAGATTTAATGATTATTTTCAGTGCTTTAAGGTTTGGTTCATTTAATTATACCAAAAGCACACTAGGGCTATCTGCCTAAGGAAGGATGCTTCGCGGAGGACTTTTCTAAGGAAACTGGCTCGTATACACGTTACACATGAGGAAAACCACAAAAACGCCCAGGCAGAGAACCCATTCGTTCGCGGGTTTCGAACCTTGGACCGGGTTACCAGTGTTCAGCGACTTTACCGCTCGGCCACTGGTGGGCTCCATCAAGTATCTACACAATTAGTATCTCTATGCATCTACATTTCAGTGTTCTTATTTCAGTGCTTCAAATTTGTGCTATCATTACATATATATATCCTAAGTTGCACTTTCGAGAGAGAAAACGCGAACTTAACCAATCGGGGAAGTAGAACACAATATAGAGGAGTATAACATCTTGTTCTCTTTTTATGAATTGATGAAACTAAAATTAAATTCTTAGTATTTTTAAAGATTGGTCCATGAATTAAACTTAGATACTCAATTTTTTGTTTCTTTTCCCTTTTTTGTACTTTACATAAACATTATAATAGAGCTCGTCATAATCATAATTGGAGATCAGTTCATTGTAAGCTGTTTTCTTTTTGTCTCAAAACCAGACTTGAGAATGTATGCTATAGTGTTTCACATTAAAACTTAGATATTAAGCCATAAAATGCTATTAATGGGGCCATTTATTTTGTGATTCATAAAAAAAAGGATGTCTTCTATGAACTTCATAAACCAATCAAAGGATTTCAGACTTAATGCAGAACACAGTTTTTAAAAATATGTATTTCACATTTTCAACCTCATTTTTCATTTGGTAAATTGAATCATTTGCTAGAGGTTACCTGTATGTAACAAATCTTTTGCTGGCACAAATGACCACCACATGATTTACTGTTTCCTACCATATTAATTGGTACTTTTCCATTTTGCCGGCACAGGCGATAAAGTCGACAACAATGGTACAACTGATGACAAACGAAATATCCTCGCTGGTAACCTTTTACGCCTCATTTTCAAAACAAGTCGCAGACATTTCTTATCAGATTGGTTGTTTTTATCAGTACTGGCATAAAATTACATTGAAGTTTTACCAGATAGCTCAATTTTATGTCCTAAGACCATTCACGGTAATTAAATCAATCAGAAAGCAATCACAACGCTCACTCAAAAATATAGTAAAGGCAAAGTCAAGGGTTAAATTCCTCAATTCTAATGGAATGCACCAGCGAAGTAAAGCACAGCAGTTTTACATAATTTCTGAGTAAGTGAAACAATTCTTGCATTTAAACTTGTATTCCAAACTAAGATTTAACTTGAAATTAATGTAGATAATTACTGAGAGAATTAGATTTTTGTAGCGTAGTTTACGTGAGATGAATTCTCTTTGGTTCGTGATACAAACCGGCGATCAGGATTTGACCATGAAAGCATAGAAAATCTTAAATAATGTCTTTTTACAAATTTTATTTTCTTTATTTATTGGCTTTTTACAAAATTTAAATGCAATTATAATGTTTATGCCTTCAAATAAAAATTCTAACTAACATTTGTTAACATTTTTTATCTCTATACTGTATGTTGTCGCCAATAAAGTCTGCTTGGCGAGATTTGCGCCGGCGAAACGGAAAAGTACCTTTTAATTTATCTCCATATTTTTGCTTACAACTATATTCCTGCTTACTAACATATTAATTTGCAAAATGCAAATATGTATGCATTCCTCACATTGTGGGAAAAATGGCTATATTTAATCCTTTTATTTTTCATATGTCAGTGTGCTACCACTCAGAAAGAATAAAATATTTATTTTGATTTTATTAGCAGATCCAGTTTTCAAATTTAATCTGTCTGTTATTAACACAAATTAAGTGATTTAAATGCAATAAAGGCAGTTTTTAATTATCCCCTACTTAATCTTATTGATTTAAATAAAAATGCATTTAATTCACAGTATCTATAATTAACAACAAAAATATTTTTATGAAATTATGCTCATAAAAATTGTAAATTTTTTCTCTCATATAATTATTTAGGTGGCTAATTTACTAAAAAGCTTATTCCCCCCCTCTGCTATTATTTTAAATATTATTTTTAAAATTGTGAAAGAATATTAATATTCTTCACTTTTAACACTTTCACAATTTTAGATTTAAATCTAAATTGTTAAAGACCAAATTAAATTAACTAAATAAAATAATTCATGTAAATTCTATGCTATCATTTTTTGCTGTTTCTTAAAAGTCTCCGATAATGTTTATGTCTTCAACAAAAAATGAAAATTCTTATATGGGTTCAAATATTACATTCTTACATAACAGTTTCATTTTTCTTCTATTTTATACACATAGCTTGACCACTTTAATGTCAAATTTCATGAATATATGCAAATAAAAGATAAAAAAAAAATTACCCCTGAACACACATTACTTCTATCCTTATTCTGTAAATAAATTTGTCTGAATGGCAATATTTATATTCTTTGTCCCATCAGATGGGATCAAACAGTAATGTTAATTTCTCAAATGAAAATCTGAAGACAAGTGAAAATATGAATATCAATTGCTTGCATTTGATATATCTGTAAAAGCTATCAAAACTAAATATGAAATAACTTATAAGCAAGGTGAAGAAAACATGAAAGAAAATAACAAATACAAACTATATATTCTTGAAATTGTAAATCAAACTAACAAAACATAAATTACATTAAAACAAGGATTCAGTAGTAATATATTTAACAAAAATACCAAAGAAATAAGCATATTTTATTGCAATAATTATATTCTGAAAAGAAATGAAATATTATTTAAGTAAATTCGCAAATTACTTAAGTAAATATTAAAAAAAAAAAAATAATAAATGTTACCTTGTACAATGTATTTCTAATTATTTCTATATTCATTTCATCCAAGTCTTGTTCTGATATGCAATCAACAAAGAAAGGAGCTAAAGGAAACATATAATACAAGAAGCAATAATGAAAATAAAATTTTACACTAATATTAAATTGCCAGAAATTTTTCATAATTCATTAAAATGATCTAATACTTGGGAAAAAAATTACCTAAAGGAGTATCAACAATAACAGCATTATACAATTCAGCAGGTGTCGTAGCAATATGAATAGCTTCCATTTGATCAAAACTTCCTAATGGATGACATTTTGGAATAAGTTCGGATATAGGTCGTTGATGAAGAGTTCCAGTGATCAAGAGAATTATGTTATCAATCATGTAACTGTAACTGAAAAAATAAAAGATTATAAATAAAAATTCAATAATTACAACAATTAAGACAATTTATTGTTCTGTCATTTATACCATTTCATAAATGTGAATAACGAGATAATTTATTTAATTAAATGTTTTTTTTTTTTGCAATTCTTTTTTGACACCAAGATCAACACCAGGAAGGCATAATTTCAAGATGGCCACTACACAAAAGCAAAATAAGAAGGCAAAGAATTGCACAAACCCAGTAAAAAATAGATAATAATAAAAATAGTAATATATTTTTATTAATAAATTATTTTCCATTACCATTACTTAAGAACTTTTTGGGACTGTATAAATATCAGAATTTGGAAAAATAGTAGAAGAAACTATAATTATCAAAGATATAATCAAGCATAAAAATATTTGGAGCAGCTGTCATATACAGAGCGAGTTGGCAAAAAATTTTCCATGATTTTACTTATCTAAAGTTTTTGTTTACATTTCAAACTTAAATCCTAAAATGTCTGAAAAAAAATGTGACTTTTACACACGATTTACAATAAAAGTCCGAAACAAAAACAAAAAATTTAGATAAGTGTGAAGTTTTTCACCAAAAATATTTGACGACAAATTTAAATGGTAAAAGTTTATAATTGGATACCCCCCTTTTTTTTAGATTCTTTTTTGACGCCAAGATCGGCACCAGGAAGGCACAATTTCAAGATGGCCACTACACAAAAGCAAAATAAAAAGTCAAAGAATTGCACAAACTCAGTGTCTATATAAACATCGATCTATGTCAGTAGAGAGAAAAAACATCAGAGAATTGCACAAACTCAGCATTACACACTGCCTTGAATTTGTCCACGTACACATTGATCTATTTTCACTTAAAAAAATCAGGAAGCTAAAACCAAGTTAAAACTATCATGGTAACCAGAAATGGAGTTTCATCACCAAAACTGAACAAAATTTGGCACCAAATGAAGAGGCACCCAAGTCTACATTAGATCCATTTAAACTAAATTAAACAACAATAAATTACAAACAATTTCAACACAAATAAATTCAAAAATTTAAAAAAAAAAAAAAAAAAAAAAAAAAAAAAAAAAAAATTAAAGCAATGCAACAATTAAATTAACTCCTTTAACTCATTACAAAATTAACACTAATTCACTTACCATTCAAAATAGTTCCCCAAAATGCAAAATCTTAATTTCAAAGAAAAACTTGTAAAAATAGACATAGCACATATAAAATCCAATATACTTTCATTAATAAAACTACACCAATCACACAAAGCATGTGAACCAAAATGCAACGACTTAGCTATATCAGAAGTCTTTCTATGATTCATAATTTCAAATTTTATAATAAAAATTTTCTCTTTTTTGAGAAAAAGTCAACTTACTGCAGGAAAAAAAGGATACAAAACCTCAAACTTTGTTGAGAACCATATTCTTTGCTCTCAACAATTTTCCAGCAAATCCACACAAATCCATCAGAGACAAAATTTTTCTTCTGAATCTTCATATAGGACCCGTACTTCTCACATGTCAAGTTTGGCTTCAAAAATCTTGTATCCCATAAAAACTGCAAAAGTACACTTCTGTTACATGAAGACAACCATGAACAAATGCTTCACTTCATTAATAACTCCAACAACATATCTTCTCGAACTCACTTGATCTAGCTTGAATATTGGCTGACATATCTCCACAATTACATGGAATTATTCAACAGGTAACGAAAAAACTACCATGATGAAATAAAAACAAATTTTCCCACAAAAGTTTCTATGTAAAATGGGCTGCAACACAAACAAAATCTCAATTAAACCAGCCAACACAAATTATCGCCACATTTGGCGACCACATGTATCACAGGCTATATGACTGTGTGTGTGTGTGTGATTATGGCAAAGCCTCGAGGGCTATCTGCCTAAGGGGAGAGATACAGTGGAGGACTTTCTAAGGGAAACTGGCTCGTATACACGTAACACATGGGGAAAACCACGAAAACGCCCATGCTGCCAGCCCGTTCGCGGGATTCGAACCTCGGACCGAACTACCAATGTTCAGCGACTCAGGCTATATGACATCTTAGCCAAATATTTTAATATAAATTTTAAAAATACACATATGCAGGCACCAATATCACATTAGGAAAAAAGAATAATTAAAATATAATGGCCACCACTTATTAAACTCAACAATTAATAAAATCAGCTGTTCATTATGTTCAGATTTCCAAGAACCAAAGCAAATATATAGTACAAACCAATTACAAATATATAGTACAAGAAACTCATTTATTAAATTCACCTTTGCTGCTTATAAAAACATATTTGTAAAAAAAAAAAAAAAGATTCTTCACTGCCAAAATATCTTATCCATTAAAGCTGTTTGCAGTTCGTCTAATTAACTTTTTGTGAATCGTTGCTTATTCAATTAAGGCTTCAATAAAACGAGGTTGACTGAAATTTTTCTATCCCCCAGCTCTATCCTGACTGAATCTCACAGAAATCGAAATTCATAGAGGGAAAAAATCAATCCCCTACAGGAGGTAAGTGAAATCATGTTCAGTTAGAGTTGACTTCAGGATACCCCTTGTATTATCGCAAAGCTGTTGTTTCATTTATGGTAACCTAAGTAGTTGAATGTTATGGTAACCCTATTATGATGTAATCGTTTGCATTATTCTGGAAAATTTTGAATCATGGGATGTTTTGTAAGGGCTTTTGTGGTGTGTGTGGTTAGGAAGTACAATGCTTGTTTCATCATTTCGACAGTAGAATGGCTGAATGTAGTAAGATTAATTTAAAGTTTCTGTACAGTTTGGAACGAAAGGGGGAAAAGTGCAATTATTGACTGGTGTGTAAATGAAGGCTTACTTAGTAGCCATTTTCCTTACAGTCCGGAATACATAGGATATTTTTTACTCTTATTATGTGGCAATACCGATATATGGATTCTAGTTCAGATAATTTTAGGAAGTTTTTGGATGCTGTTAAGGAATTGTGTATACCACAGACTGAACACGAATTAATTTCTAAATAAGGTAAGTTTTTATGTTAAAGTGTAGTTTATTGAGATTATGTATTTTTTGTTTGCCTCTACTGTAGAACTGGGTGCTCCTATGACTTTTTATGCGAAAACATTGCGATGTGTACATGGAAAAAGTTAAGGGAGCCTAGTTTATGCAATTCTCTGATGTTTTTTTAAGTGAAAATAGGTCGATGTGTACATGGATAAAGTCAAGTGAGTGCGCAATGCCATTTTTGTGCAATTCTGGGGGTTTTTTTAAGCAAAAATAGGTCGATGTGTACATGGATACTGAGCTTGTGCAATTCTTTTGGCTTTGTGTAGTGGCTATTTTTGGTGCAAAAATCACCACTACACAAGCCAAAGACTTGCACAAATTTGGTATCCACGTACCACCAAAAATCGCCAAGAGGTACCCTAAAATATACTTTTACTGAAAGTTGTAGAGTCATTAGATATATCGATGTCAGGAAACTGAAGAAATCCACATTGCCGTCGCCAAATTTTGAATTCCGGACCTCCCCAATATGTGCGAGTGTGCTTCTAGTTACATCACAAAAGCATGCGCTAAACTGACTGACATATAGCTTACAAATTAGAAAGAGAGAAATAACCATAGGAAACCATGTTCATAGGAAACTGCACCGTGAGAAGAAAGAGAGGATCATCATGCGTCTGATAAGTACATAAAATATATCTTATCTGGGTTGTTAAATGAACATAAGACACAAAATTTATAATATATATGAAACTAGATGTGTTACAAGAACATACATTAATGTATAGCAGCTAGTTTAAGAAACTGAAATAACAAGTTACTGTGTTATTAATGTGTAATATGGACCAAACAGCAAGGGAACAGCAATTACGAAAAAGCAAAAAATATGAAATGAAATATGAATATGAAAAGCTGAAAATGTACCACTCCCCACCTTTCCTCCCAAAATTTCACTCACGAAACTGAATATTTTTATAACCTATTTATGGAATTATTATTTTTTATTATATGATTAATGGATGACTATTTTTGATTTTTTTTTTTTTTTATTGGACAATGAACTGAATAATGGAGGGGAGAGACAACTTTGTAAATTAGGCAATCAAACAGCACATCTGCTGTTTTCTGAAAAACATTAAACTAGCATTTCCTTCTGCAAATACAAGTTCTAGCATTCAGCCTTTAAACTAGGGTTTTATAAAAGCTTTCAAATGACATTTACATGTATATAGTATGAACACATACATCTATACAGACATTTCTAAATCCAGTCTCAATAACAGAAGAGTACCAAAAAATGTTAAAATAATTATACACAAAATTGAACCTTGTGAAAATGCAAGCACTTGGAAGGAGATAATTTAAGTTAACATATATGCTACAGGCCATACATATAATAGTAAATACAGAGGGAGTAATCTCTTATAACACACTTAAAAACTGTTTTAAAAAATTTGCCTTTTATTTAGAAGCTTCAGAGAAATTGCAAGCTAGAGCTAATAATAGCTCAGATATCAGAGATGGAAGTTATGAATATTAACTTCTAGAATATGTATCAATTATTAAAACTGACTTGAAATGATATGATATTGATGATAGTTAAAAAATATTGAAATGATATGTAAAAAACATTTAATATGATATTATAGAAGATGTTAAAAGTACTGCAGAGCCTGAAAATCTCTTTAGCTAAAAGGTGCTGATCAGAAAATTTACCAGCAATTGTAAACTTGAGCCTTCAAATGAAAATTGATGAAGAATATAAAACAAAAGAAAAATTAATCTGGGTCATAATTTTAAACATATTCTCATAAAAAAATTTCAAATATACTTCAAAATTCCATAAATAGTTTAGTTTTAGCATTAATATTTAATTATTATTTTAGGTATTAATTATTGGATTAGTTGCTAGTTATTATCCTTTAAGATCAGTTTAAAACCAATATTACAAATTGCTATCTATTAAATACAGCCACTTAATAAACTCAAATATGCTTAGAAAAGAAATGATTTTAGTAAGCAATGAGTACTGTATAATTTTTCAATTTTCTTTACAAAACGTTTCCTAGAGAAGGATATGACATTCATTACATATGAAGCCTATGCTATTCACTATGAAAAGCATTCAAAACTAAATTCACTTAAATTACTAACTAGTTACCAATCCCATTTAAAAAATTGATTTATCAGTCTGTACACAGAGAATGAAAATTTCTAATGGGTAATAGATAAATACAAAATGACACAAAATATCTCAATTTATATTTTGATATGAAAAGCACAAATTTACGTAATATAATCCAAGAAAGTGGACAATGGTTCTACAGCTTGGTTTCTTATATGCAGAAACTCTACAACCAATTTTTCTCTAAGTTTGTCTTCAATGATGCTAACAGTCAACGGACTTGGCTCATTAGCAAGAAAATTTCCATAATCCGTACTTTGTAAATGCACTTTAAGATCTGAAAAATTATAACAACATATAATACAAATTTTACTTCAAGAAAAATTTTAAACTATTTTAGTAAAAATCTGTTAGATAAGAAAATAAGTTATATAGCTATTTAGATGTTTTTTAAGATAAAAATTTTCTGAGTAATACATATTATATTATAAAAACAGAAGCTGACATAACATACTTCATGAAATGTTTATATTTACATACACAAACTACATTTGCCAGCACAAAACTTTACAGGATGAAATAGAATTCATTTTTAAACAATAATATTTATCATAATACGGATTACTGCCTTCATACAAATTACTTAAAAAAAAAAAAAAAAAAAAAAAAATTGATTTTTCATGCAAATTTCAAACCTGCATCTAAAGATACATAAATACAAATCAAAATTTAATCACCTTCCAACGTTTCGCATTGCACAAGATTGTGATAATCAGCAACTTTTAATATTCCACATTTAAAACCTCTCACTAAACCTTCTAAATAACCATTATCTATGTTAAACAATATTTCCAGCATTTTGAAATATTAGAATGTATAACTTTCCAGAATATACAGACGATGCACAGCACACCCTCTAACACCTAACTATATTAGCCTCTGCGCTTAGAAAACCCAATTATTCTCTCGCCAAAGTACAGTATTGGCGACTTTATTTAGTTCAAAATCCATTACTCAATAAAATATCTGGTTGTTCTCACATTTCGAGCTTTACTGTACTTTTTGCCAAGACCAAAATTTATGATTCTTTTGATTTAGTAGTAATCATAGAGATTGCAGTTTTCCCTTGGATTTGGAGATGGGGGCAAGAAACTAAATAATAAATTTTTAATCTGCTACTCGGTATTTTATGCGTAAAAACGGAAATACATTAAAAAATTTACGTTCATTATTAAGAGGGCCGGCTTTAGGCTGAACGACCTGTGCAAACTCTGAGAGTTTTAAATTTTACCCCCTATTTTTCCTTCAATTCTAAAAGTTTTACCACCCCCTAATTCTGCCACTCGGTGGGACAACATTGGTTACATCGGCGCTGATCACACACAAAATAATAAAATTTTTTCAAAGCAGATTTTACAAAAATCGAAATTAGTATGTTTCATAAAAATAAAGAATGAATAGTTGTTTCTTTTTGCAGTTAAAAACATTATATTGCCTCCTTTTTATTTAAAAACTACCAGCTATCGAATAATCAAGACTGATGAATACTAGCATTTCAATCCGGGTTTGTCTTGGTGAAATTGTTATGCAGGTTATTGTTAGGTCTGGTGTATTCAAGATTTTCCTCCATGTAATATAAATAATAATTAATTACCCTTAAAAAGTTCTCTACGAAGGCATTCACTCCTTTAGAGCAATAAGCTACTTTGTGTTTTACTGTATTCCATTAGACAACCTTTTATTTTTTGCCGCTGTGTAGAATAATAATAAAGAATAAAAAATATGTGATGAAACATGTTTTTATAACTATAGAACAGCATTATGAAGTGTTGAATTAGAATGCATATAATATTTTAAAACAGCTTCTAAGAAAAAAGCAAAGAAATATTTCGAAATATGAATTTTAAGTAATCTAATGATTTGGTTAGGTTTCTAGAGAATTTCAATCTATAAAATATTCGTATGCCACCAAGCACATAGGAAATGCCAAACGAGTGAAAACTAGCCAAAAATGGGTTTAAAGATCCCTTTTGACGCATGCGTAAGATTCGGAACATGTGCAATGTTTTAACGCTAAGGGATTAAATTTGATCATGTGATGAAAAAGTCGATGACGATTATGTATATTTTTAGTAATCAAAGTCTATTTCACAAATTAGATAGAAAACTTCTGTAACAACACAACTTTTCTATATTTATTATTTTATATAAGTATAAATAAATTATCAAGTTTACAAGTCAAATTTCAGATATTCACATTGATGTGATTTTTTTTTTCTTTTTATTTCAACTCCACTCTGCGGTTTTGTATGTTTGGTATCTAAGGTGTAGTTGTTATGAAGATTTTTGATGTCTGACTGATATTTTAAGAATTATTTAAAATTTTATATTCGTATTTAGCCAAATAGTAATATGGCGGTAAGATAGAATGCTTTTATGATCATTTATCTGTGACAGCTGATCTTTCAAATATTATGTATCTTTTTGTTCTGTATTTGTTCGGTAATTTGTCGTACCTGGCTTTGTATGAAACTTTCTTTTAATAATAATACTGTTTCCTTCGGGAAATTTCTTTACTTGCCAGTGAATGGACTATATAATGGCTATATGATGTTAACGCAGTAATATATTAGACATCTAGACTATAATAAAGTAGACGGTGTGTATGGTGCATTTAATTATTCAAGAATTCAAACAAAGCTCAAGAGCTGGGAATGTTTGGTACAATTCAGCCGATTTTTAGCGTTTGCGATATTCTTAATAAGTTACTAATTACTTAATAAGTTATGAAATTAATTCACAAGGAATGTCATTTTTTTTCATGCCTACGTTCAGAAACTGAATAATAATTGATAAGGACATATGATGATTACATATTTAGTGCACTTTCAAAATGCCAGATTTGAACATAAATTCATATAAAAAGCACTTGGTAGGTTTTGCTGAATTTAAAATTATCTTTGGAAGATAATTTGTTGTAGATGCAAATCACATCTGCAGTTTGTTTTACAGAAACATTAGATATACATATTGCTCCTGTCATCGATGATCTCACCTAATCAAAAATTGAAACACTGGTATTATACATCTATCATTTAATTTTCATAAATATATTTCATGTGTATATGTGAATTGCTCAAATTAATAAAAAAATATTGATGTAAATATTTACAAGCGTGTAGTTGTCAGTATACTATATGTTGGGTTTTTGCAGAATAGTTGATGAATTTCCTTTAAGGGTTACCATATAAAAATATGTTAAATATTAAAGCAATACAGCTTGCTAATATTTAATGATGTTTTCATTAAATATTAACAATGGTATCTTGAATCATAACTGGTTCAAAAGAAAAGTGAAACTAGTATAATTTACAAAATGATCTTGTTTCTTCTTGCTATTATGCATACACAAAGATAAAATGAATAAAATTCAAACTTTTTTCACACGGTACAGAACTTTAAAAAATAAAACTGAATTTCTTTTCAAGCAATAATATTTATCATGATATGGATCATTGTGTTAATAGAAATTGTGGTACTTTTCTGTTATGAGGACCAGGTTTATAAATGTATGCATGCATAACACACACACAAATGTATAATATATACCAAACATGGCCAAACTGCAGCTCTCCGACACCTTAACTGTGGCTTGCGAGTTACTTACGATCTTTTGCCATCTGAAATGCGATATGTTATGAATAAACATGGTTTAATTTTTTGATACAAATGGAATTTGAAATATCAATCATGCAATGCCACATTTCTTTATTAATTGCTTAGTGAATTTCTGATATTGTGTACGTAGAAATTTAATAGATTTTAAACTGACCACTGCTGGCTTATCATCAAAGCAATAAATATGTAAAATTACAAATAATTACATTATGCTACTTTTTGAATAGGTAATGGTAATCAGAATACACTAATTCGAAGTTAATCTAAAACTCAGTGCTAATATTGTTTCTCTCAAGTTAATTTTACTTCAGGCAATATTCCTGTGTGATCCCATTGTTCGTAACAATTGTGATCCACGTGGAAGACCTGCTGTTCGTTGTAGGGTACGACATTCATTCAGTCCTTGAATGACATGAGTAGCTGCTGAAGAAACCTTGCAATCCATATAGAGCTCTTTTAATCTGCAGAAAAATTTACGGGGATTTTTTTTTGGGGGGGGTGGAGTGAACCTTCAGCCTTTTACTTGGTTAGGAGACTTATCTCAATTTACTGCGGAACTCCTTCAAAATTAATATCCTATCACCAAGCAAGTCCGGCATTTTTATGCAATTGCTTCACATATTTCGCAACTATTCACAATAATACTCTTAATGAATACTGTTTCCACATGAAACTATCTTTCGTAATAATTCCTTGGTAATCCTAGGCAGAGATCAAAATTCATTGCACCAATGATTGTGTATGCTGAAATATTCGGAGTCGTGGAAAGAATCACTGGTTTGACAACAATTTAAATTTCAGTCAAAATGGTTAATTCTCATTTTATCAAATATTGTTACTCTAGATAGAGATATTTCACCTTAATAATCAGATCTTCATATCAGTAATGTTGCATCAAGTAACGAGGGATCAACAGATCACAAATATCTCTCTTCTTTAAAGTTTCTGTCAAAAATCGGCATACTGATATTGGTGAAATCTTTTTAGCACATGATATTATTTTCTCCTATTTTTCGATTTCTTGTTTAATGGGATTCTTCTTTTCTACTTTGAACTAGGTTAGAGGCATTTTGCTCCACTAGGTTAGAGTCGCCAGTAAATATCTCAGTAGGTTAGAGCTATTTTGCTGCCCAGCATATCTAAAATTTTTCACCCCTTAGTACAGTCACTCTGCAGCTGCACCAGTTGGCCTGGCCCTGATGCCAGCATTACCTTTCTTTTAATCTGTTGATATTTTTTGTCTTCCTAATTTTCGGTCATCATGTACATCTGACATGTCCTTCATGAAAGCTTAATAGCCAAACAAAACGTTGTACAACGATCCACTGCTTGATCACTACAAGTTTCAGGCAATAATGTGAAATTTTGTTCCAGTAAAAGTTTATTCTTTATTAGTCTGATCTTTTATTTTCTAAAGTATCCTCTGCCTACAGACTCAATTTCAAACTCACTCCTTCAAACTTTTTCATTTGAGATTTATTTTCCATACACAGGTTAGGTAACCCAATGGAAAGTTGTTCTATGTAACTGTTAGGCTAATAACAAATTATTTTAAACTTTCTGAGTTATTTTACATAGAAATTCAAGACAAGATGGAAAGTCATTTCACTGCCTTTATGGGTGCAGCAGTTAGAATATGGTGGATCCGTTCACCTATTTGGCAAGAGCTTTGGAACTAAACTATTGTGCAGAAGTCTGCCGTGTTACAAAAAGTCTCCACAACAAACATTTGTGCATGCCCATGGAAATATGAAGAGTTATGCATTCAATATTTTATCTGCATTTGCAAAATAAATTCATTATAGTAGTGACAGGTATGGTTTCTTTTTGTAACATTAGTTTTGATTTGCCATGTATTTGAAAAACAGCTCAAAATTAAACAGCTAGATTGAAGATTTTGGCTGGTAGACGAATGGAATATGTGCTCAACAGAGTGTTTTTATAGCCCAGCATGAACTACTATATTTATTAGCAATAGGTTATGTACGTCCAGAATTATCGTAACTATTCAAGAGGTGGTTTCAAAAATTTTCAATGATGTGCATGAACTTCGTTATCTATGACCAAAATTATAGGCATGATTCGGGAGATAGTTTCGATAATTTTCAATGATGCACAGTGTAGTGATTACAAAAAAATTCTGGCAGATTCCATTGGATGCTGTGTCGAAATATTGTATCAATCAGGGCCATCATAAGAGATACTGATTATTCAAATACCACTGAAATTGCAATCATATTCCTTTTTTGGTGAGTAAAATAGTTATTCTAAAGTTTTTGGGGAAAATGTTTAATGATTTCTTAGGTTAGGATCCAAAGATTCGAATAATCTCAGTATGTTGGTCATTATGTTAATTGCGTGGAGAAACAAAATTACTTTTTAAGCAAAAGCCTAAACAAAAAAACTCTCAGTTACCATTACAAGAGTTACAAAATTTTATTTTCTTGGGACTTATCTGAACACAAAACAGTAAACATAAGATGTATTTATTTACATGTAATCATGTTAATCACATATTCATTAATTTACTTCAAAAGCTTCTTTACATTCAAAACCTGTCTCATTATTTTTGAAATGATATAAATTTGGACTTCGGCTCTCGAACATTCATAAAAATCTATCGTGTGGCTCCCATTGTCTTAAAGTTTGGCCATCCTTGATATATACAATATACATACAGGCATATATTTCTGAATCTGGTCTCGATAATAGAAAAGTATCGAAATTACAAGATATGCCATACTTAAAAAAAATTAAGAATTTATTTTAAGAATTTTGTACAATCTGTTTTTAAATGTAAGAAATGCAAATTAAAATTTATTCACTTTCCAAAATCTTATGCTGCACAAGATTGTGATAATCACCAGTTTTTAAAATTCCTCATTTAAAATGTTGCACTACTATCTGTGTAAAACATAGATATTACATTACCACTATCTATATAAAACAATAGTTTTAGTACTCCGAAAATAAAAAGTAATGTATGAATTGTAGTAAATTTTTCACAAGGATTTTTAAAAAATGTTCTTAAGAAATGGCATGTGAGTGTTATTGTTATTATTATATATTGTGTTGTTTAATTTTACATTCATATTTCACGAGCTTGGTGAAATTATAGCTGAGATCTTGGCGCAAATCTAAAATCAATCATGGTTTGGGACTGCAATAAAAAAAGAAGTACCTTACTTTTACACATATTGTTTAAATTATATTTTTTATACATAGAGAGTTCTCATTTTTATAATTTAATTAAAAAGTAAAAATGAGATTAAGTGCAAGTCAGAGTTGTAGCTAGAGTTTTCAGGGGAGCAACTGAAGATTTCATGCCGCCTCCTGTTTCCAAAGAACGAAAAACGTTTAATTCTAAAATTTCATATTGTCAGTTTGGCATCCCCTGGATACTGCATCCGAGGACAGATGTCCCCCTCATGTTATGCCATTGTATGCTAATGAAGCAGAAAACTATCAGGGCATAGTATATCCTGATTCCATACTTTTATATACAAATCGAAAGCATTTTTTTTTTTGTGATATATATCTAAATTCTAAACAAACAACCATAACTGCATGTTTTACATTCTTTGAATAAAATAGTAAATCATATTTGTAACATTAAGATAAACAGTGACAGTGGATTGAAATTTGAAAAAATACATTTATTTATTTATTAATGTATATATTTTTAAACATTCTTGATTAGTTCAGCTTATTAAACTTGAAAGTTTCTAGCTATTCACTTAAATGGACAAATATTGATCTCTCTTGAGTATTATGAGTTCCGTAATTGATAGCTCATACATTTGCTCTAATCATCTCTAATTCATCAGATATAAATGCTGGTAAAGTAACTGCAGGGTTGATGAGACAGTGTGAAAATAGCAGCTTTAATTGCTGATTTTGTAAATAAATTTAGTTTTAATTGGTGTGCTTGGTGACATAGTACTTTGCCTGGTGAGTCTTGTCAGGGTCGGATGGATAAACAGAGAGTACTATTTTTTTAAATATTCATGTAATCTTCTCTAAATTTTAAAATGGATTTGTCCATGAATCCATTTTAAACATGGATTAACAAAATTAAAATTAGTAAAGCAAAACATGTCCCATTGTTTTTGCTTTACTAATTAATTTGCTTGTGAAATTTGGGTCTTGGCCTGTGATTGATGAAACAAGTAAACAACTTCTGAAAATGGGAATATCTAATGCTCATGATACTACTGGAGATCATTGCACATGGGAAGAGAGAACAAATGGTGACAATGACAATGGTTACAATGATAATGACTTGCAAGCTGTAGCAGACAAACAGATAGCAGCATTAAATAATTAGAGGTCTAGAGATTTGCAGTGAACTTCATTAAAGCAGATGAGATTCACAAAACAGGGAAGTGGAAAAGAAAATATCTTATCAGATATTGGTAATGTTAACATTATGATGTATTTTTGTTGAAATGCAGGTTTCTTTTAAATAAGTATTGTGGTAGTTACTGATAATTTATTCATGAATACTTTTCATTAGTTATGCTCCTGCTGTAACTGTAGCCTTCAGAAATTAAGTTATTCACATACTTGTCCCACCTCAATTTTAATAGGATAAAATTAGTGAAAAAAAAGGGGGGATATGTGAGTAAATATAGCAGATAGAAATATGTATTTTAAAGTTCTATTTGTATAGATTGAATACTTACATGTAATAATGAAATTTAATAATCCTTCCTGAAGCATATTAGCATTTTTATACTGAACTTTGTAACTTTATTTCGATATATTTTTTATTTTATCTTGTGTATATATGATAATTTTTCAAAATAAACATCAGTAAAGCAAAAGGGATGAAATTTAACAATCACAGTGTTTTATTGTATTTTCTTATTTTGCCCTTAATATTTCAGAATCAAAGTTCTAATTATTATGTTTTTCAGTCTGAAGTAGATGAGACCATCAAAAGAATTCAATCACATAAAGGTGTTCTAGGAATCATCATATTGAATGCTGATGGTGACTATGATTATTATTATAATACTTGCACACAACCATGTTAAAAAATGAATCTTGCTTCTGTTCTTCAGTATTATGTTTTCAAGTGTAAAATAATAGCTTATATAAAGATATTTTTTAAAACACAAAATATATTTAATTACTTGTTAATATAATCCAGGTTATCTATTTTTTAAATAATTAAAAATGTTAGTTAAAATTTATATTTTGTTATTGTCTACATTATTTTATAGTACTGTCATTTTAAATCCTTTTTTATATATTTTAACAAGAATGGAACAAATTTTTTTCATATTGTATTTTAATCATGTTTTCTCAAATTAGGCATCCCAATTAAATCAACAATGGATAATAATACCACTATAGAATATGCTGGTTTAATTACACATCTGGTAGACAAGGCTCGTCGAACTGTTAAAGAATTGGACAACACTAATGAGCTGACATTTTTAAGAGTTCGATCAAAGAAAAATGAGATACTTATAGCACCAGGTAAAAAATTATATTTCTCACATTCTTTTTCACGATTTTAATAAAATAGTAATAACATGTTTCATATGACAGATTGTTCCAATGTGTTTATAGGATGAAATACTTAGTTATAGTACTTAATTAGTTTATTACCTCACATATAATCTTCATGTTTGAGAAGTTGTTCTTAGGGACTGTAGTTAAAGCTGCAAATACTGATAGTTCATATTCCAGTATTTTCAGCTGATAAATAGGCAGAATGTATGAGGGTTTTTTTTATAGTTTTTTCTCACATTTAAATTAAATATAAGGAATTTTCCATAGAGAGTCCTCCATATAAGTCTGCTTTGTAAGCAGAAGGTTCTTAATTGTAATAAATAATTTACCAGTTACTTGCAATGGAAAGTTTACAAATGTTTTGATTCAAAGAATTCCCAGAAAATGCTTGTAGTTCAGTTTTGTTTGAGAGGTAAAGAAAATTATTATGTAATCATCTTTGAAATAACATCTGTCAAAGCAGAAACATTTGCTCTAGTGCTGCGAAGTTTTTGTAGAATTTTTTTTTAAAGATAAGTCATGGAATGACTGTTACATTCGTTTGGATAGTTTAGACTGTTTGAAAATGTTAACCCCATAAAACATTCATGATAAAAGAAAAACTGAGATCAAAAGGTGAGAGATCTGACAAAAAAGGTGATTGTGGCATGACAGAAATATATTTCTGATCAGAGGAACACAGGTTTCTTTGGTCAGAATATGACACTGCACAGCACCAAAGGATGCTTTAATTACATTTCTTCTACAACAAGATGCACTCTTTCAGCCATTTTCAAGTTTTGTGCTTTTGGCATGATTCTTTCCTTGATCTTTTTGAATGTAAGATTGGTAAATTTAAAAATCAAAGCTTAATTGAAAATGGTGTCTTGAATTAAATTTTTAGACTTAATTTTTGCATTTTGTGCATGTGTTTATATTCTTTACTGTAGTCACTTAAAATGGTATTATTCTAAGAAATTAAATTTAAATGAGGTTATTTACCCGAGAACCAAGATGTAATTCTCTTTCAGGTAAGTCATAGATTGGTCTTTTCTCTGCTTCAGTAATTTAACCATTGTTTAATTAACTTAAGTGTGCATTTCCCACATTGACTACTGATGATTGATTGATTGGTCTTCATTGTTTTATGTTTCACATTGTTATAGTTGGCAATATATAAATAAAGGGTAAAGGCAGTAGATAGTATGTTAGCAGACCAGAAACAAGCTCGAAGAAAGAGCACATCTTAGAAAAAAATTATAGGATAAGAATGGTGAAGCTATGGTTTCTGTTTTATTTCTATTGGTTGATTAAGGTTTTGGCTTGCAATTTTAATATTATTAGTGGCTTAAAGACATTTTGTGATTTGCAACTAAATATGGCATGAGCATCATACAGGAATTAATTTTGAAATGAAATATCAGAGAAAGATTTATTATAAGAATGTTACTATTTTTAGGATAGAAACAGAAAATAACCAAATCAAAAAGGAAGACTTAGGAGTCTATTGCAAATTAAAATTTTATCTTACTCTTATGCCTAATTATTTTAACAGTCACAGTAAGGATTTATGAAATATTGATGGTAATTTATAATGACAGGATCGATAAAGAATTCATTCAAAATAAATATTTTCTCTATTTTTTTAAACTCTTTATTGGATGTAATAGCTAAATTATTTGTGTTGAAAGACAGTTCTATTTCAATGCATAAAATGATGCTAAAGATTACATACAGCTTAATCTTGGTTCAGTTACAGTTATCAAATTTTCTTTTTTTAGTTTATGAATTATAGTACTTTAAAGCCAATATACATACTTAGTTAGAACTTCATATCAAATTTGCTGTTGAAAAGTATCTGTTGTTAACTTTATGGTACTTTAGCAGAAAATATAATTCTGTTATTATCAGCAGTTCAAATTTAAAGTATTTTGATGCAGTTAAGTATATATTTCTAGTTCTACATTAATATCAAATTTTACAAATTTGTCTTTTTGTAATATTTATATTTTTAATAATATGAGAACTATATTATTTCTTGTATTAAAGCATAAAAAAAAGGGAAAAGCTATTAGTACCATATAAAAAAATTTAAACTTTTAAACTATTTCTTCTGAAAATGTCATTTTAATTAATAATCAAATTACAAAGTGCATATTAAGCTTTACTTATTAGTTAAACACTTGAGATTTAAAAAAAAATTAAATACTGCCATCACATTTTACTCTGCTTAATGAACCCCAAAGATTTTTTTAAATTAATGATTGCTGACTTCAAAATTTATTGTTTGTATCTACGTAGGTTGGGGCAAAATTCATGGCAACTATTTTTTTTTTTCTTGAAGATACCAGTCCGGATAGAAAATGTGACATATGCAGACGAAAAGACAAGGTCTTAACTACATGTGTGGATAATGAATGCACTGAAATATCGTAACACACGAATTTATTACAGTAGTACCGGGCAATATAGCCTTCACCATGCAGAAGATGATAACACAATACATAAAGTTGACATGACAAACTGGGCCTAAAGACCTTCAATGTAGTCCCCCTTACTGTCACCACACGCTCCAATTGTAGAGGCGCTGAATACCATCAGCCTCAGCATTTGCCGCACCACGTGTGAATCGGGTCATCTGTTGGCGCACAGCATTAGCAATGTCTTCTTGTGTTGCAAAATCTTGGGAATGAGATCAAAGTCACAGGGAAAATGGTCAGGAGAGTATGGTGGGTGCTCCAAGTCTTCCCATCCCCAACGTCGGAGTAGCTGCCGTACACACTCTGCTTTATGTGGTCTTGCATTGTCGTGCAGAATTATTGCACTGTCCACAAGATCCAGACGTTTATCCCGAACGCCACGTCGTACCTGTTGCACCAGGAAATCCCTGTAGTACTGTGTGGTCACTGTTCTGCCATGAAAAACAAAGTGGCAAACAATGACACCCCTGACGTCATACGCGACGATCACCATCAATTTGACTGGGGAAGGATTCTGATGCTAGCTGATTACGCAATATCCTGTGAACGGTGCATTTCTCGATGCAACTTGCACTCTCTAACTCCAGTAATGTCCATCCTCTGTCTTCATCCATGAGGTGCTTGATGACGGCCACGTGCCAAGTTGTCCGCACATCACCGGTCGTCCCGAACTTTGCCATCACTGTTGACACACGTCCTTGCCAAAACTTTCCTACCCACCGTGCTACTGTACGATATGGGAGGGCATTATTTCCAAGGGCTTCTACAAATTCACTGTGACATTTTTTTGAAAATACTATTTGATGTACGCGCGCTGCTCAACATGGTTACTTCCATCTCGCACGGCACTCACCAACTGACTGATTCATAGCTCTCGCTACCCAGACCAGCTCACAGAGCCATCTGTTGTTCTGCATACACACTATGCCTGCAGAACTTCCACACAAAACATATACGTTTTGTGATCCGTTCACATATCGACAATAAAAAAATAGTTGCCATGACTTTTGCTCCAACCCTCGTATTTTGGTTGTATTATTAATTCATGTATATAATACCAAATATAAAATAGTTAGAAATAAGTGCATATATGCTTTTAATTGACTTTTCATTTACATTATAATTATACATATAGTATTCTAAACTGGTAAAGGTGATCTTTTTACCATTTATTCTTTTAATTTATTCCATTATTTTATAAACTTGAGATGTAAAATTAATTTAATTCTGCTTTTTAGATAAAGAATATCTGTTGATTGTTGTCCAGAATCCCAATGAGTAACATTTCATGGACAGTTACAAGCGTGAATACTTTTTTGACACTACACATTGTTATTTTTTTGTTACATTTAACTGCACAGAAAGCACTATTTCATGCAGTCTTTTATTTATGAAGTTGAAATAATTTAAAATGTGACATATATTTCAAAATTAGAAATAATAACTTATGTTAATATGTTTTGTAGAAATGTGTTGTTGATATTTAAGGTTTTCTATATATATTGTTATCCAAGTTTATCTTTGTTTTGATAATTTTTTATGTCATTATTTATAATTTAATTAAATGCTGAAATGAAAAGGAATTTAAAAACTAACTATGTTAACATAAAAGAGTGTAAACCATTTAGATACTATAAAGAGACTTAACAGAATTTGTGAGAAAGGAAACTTTTGCAGTGTGCATTTACAGAAGAGTGAATCTTTTACAGTATGCTGTCCAACAGTGATGGTGATTTGTAATAAAGTAAAGAAAAGATGTAACAATATTAGTTATTTAAAAGGGTGATAACAATACCAGTTATATAAATATATATTATACTGGTAAAGTATATAAAGTATATTTTACATTCATCAATATTAGTCATATTTAGGTATTAAAAATGTCCAGTACTTCATTTAATCAGAAGTATGTAAGATACATGGCAAAAAAATGAATACTTAAAAAATATTTACAATCAGAAAATGTGTCATGGCATAGGATTACATACTATTATGCAATAACAATACAATAAGAAAAATATTAAAAAAAACTGAAAAATTTTAGTTTGCACTTCAAAGGTTTAAAAAAATATGATAACTAAATTAAAAATTACAATTATGCAACGTTTGAGAGATTTTTAGACTCATATTTTTTAAGTTTGCTCTCAAGGCTTCATTATATGCAGATTCCAGCCTCCTAAAATAATTTAAACTGAGTGATTTTAATTAGTCTACTATCTAATTTAAGAATTAATTCTCCAGAAATTCAAGATATAGAGTATAAAGTTGTATATTTAAAAATTAGGTTAATCTAAGTATTTAAAGATGACAGAGCACATGAGGGCAATCTGTCTAAGGAGAAGAATGCTTTCGCAAAGGACCTATAAAAATTATTTTATCGACTCATAATACTTTAAAACAATTAATTATATTTTAGAAACAATCAAATTAACACTGCTAGAAAACAGATTTATAATAAAAGATAGAAGTTTAAGAAGTTCTGACTCGCAGAAACATTTTCTCACATGTGCTATTTGCTATCATTATTATAAAAGGTTATTCCATATTTAATGAGTTGTCAATGTATCATAACATCTAAATTATATTTATATGGAACTGCAAAGTGTATGCATTTCAAGCTGAACATAATTTGCTTCACTTCAGTCATTTCTCGCCTTCCCTTCCCCCCTTTAAACAGTAATTCAGTATCACACACACACACACACACACACACACACACACCACACACACACACACAAAAAAAAAAAAAAAAAAAAAAAAAAAAAATTACAAAAATGGATAAATATGAGATATTAAAAATATTGCATGTTTATTTCAGTAATGCAAAAATTTACCCATCTTTGTGCAGTTGTTAAAAAAATTCTTTATTTGTAACAGATCTGTCATGATATCTTGTTTTACATCAATACTCCCAAAATTGTAATTATTGCCATTTGCAATTTCTTTATGCTGTTATTCGGACTGATTATAAAAAAGAAAATAAAAGAGGGTTAATACTTAACATAGCTATTTATCCAAAAATATACAGTTACATCATTTCAGGTTTTGTTTTGATATTATATCAGATGTTTATTTCATTTAAAATATTGCATTATATCTAAATAGTAGTTCATTGAAGCAGAAATAAATGTTAGACAAACAAAGTAAAATAAACATTACAGATTGTAAATAAATAATATTTACAAATTTACACGTCAAAATACAAAGTATTACATTGCAACTTTTAATCGTTTTACTTCTGCTGCATCATGTACTTTTTCTACATTTTTGTAGTCTTGTATTAGTAATATCAGATCATTAAGAGAAGCTTTGAATATATCTTTTTCCATGCATTCAACTTCAAGGAAATGATGTAAATGAGCCTAAAAAATTCAAGACATTTATAATTATTTTAAGAAAGCTACATATTTGTGTTAATGTTTTAAAGGGTATACTTCTTCGTTTCTATTATATGCCCATTTGAATAACTGTATTAGGTTAGTAGAAAATGGTTGGCAAAATGGCTCACAATTTTAAGAACTACCTCAAGCTTTAAAATACAAATGCTAGGAACAAAGGCTTCTTATGTTTGACAGTGGCATCATTGATCATCTGTGGTTTGTTAAATGATATTTCACATTAGAACACATCTATAACATTTCTTAGTAAACCATAGATAATGGAAGACTGTGGTTTATTTACAGAAGACAATGTATTTAGTGTTGCATTAACTGAAAGTTATGGAAATGATGAAGGATTATAAGGCAAAATAATAATAAAAAAGCTTAAATCTTTCATGCAAATTGATTCCAAATTTTTAATTGCAAGTTTATGCAAGATTTTTTTTAAATCTGGATATCTGTTAAGAGAATGGATGTGTTTAAATGTGAGCTTCACATCAATACTAGGACTATTACAGTAAAACCCCCAAAATAATACCTTTAGTATGCCAAAATAGTCTGCAGTAACTGTTATAGTGATTGTTGATTAGAAATATTAGTAACTTAATATTAACATACAAATGATAAAAAAAAAAAAAAAAAAAAGGTGGACAAGATAATGAATTCACTAGACACGAAATGAAGAACAACTGTGCATGGGACAACTTTGCAAGTTGGAATATTTTAAAGTTTAATAGCAGACAATGAAATTCTTGTTACAAATAACAGCTTACACTGCCATTGTTGTATACTGATGCTATTAACAAGGAAACATTGGATCAGAATTGCATATAAATGAATAACTATATTTGCTGAACTGGTAAGTAATTTAATTGCTAAATATTATATAGAGGTTTGCCAATAATATTTTTGCACTCCACCAAAATTTCATAAATTATAAATAACATTCAGCAGATATTCATGCATTATTTAGAGTTAAAATCTTTAAGTAGGACATACAGATCATTAGTTATGTTAAGGATTTGTATTTGTATATTTTTTTTTTATATTTCATTAATACAAAAATACCACAAAATTTTTTTTAATACTTTAGGGAGAAAATCATGGCATGTAATTACAGGAACAATCACTGAACATATAACATGAGTTACCTTTAAAAAAAAAAAACGTTTTTTTTTACTACCTTGTACGAAGTAAAAAGGAAGTATTGTAATCGCGAAAAGTTTCAGACAGCATACTTCAACGAAACTATCCATTTTGACCGCTTTCGAATGCAATTTAACGATGTTTTTGTGTGATATCTGTACATAAGAACAGAATAAAAGACTTTATTTTCCTCCAAAAAAATTATAAAATTGCTTTAAAATGAATTCTGAAGAGAATTTTTCGTGGCGTCTGTACGAACTTATCTCGCATAACTCAAAAATGAGTAGCCTCAGAACGTTGAAATTTTGTATATAGGACTGCTATAACATGTAGATGTGCACCTCGTATTTTGGTTTCAATCGGCGGCACCAAACGTATATAAATATATTTATATATATATGCACTCTGTTACCTGGCTCAGTGATCTCAGTTTCTTTACTCTTATGTGTTTGTAAATTGTACATTTTTTGCTTTAGAAATGATTGAATTATGTTGTTTTTATCTTCCGGTTAAGGTTTTTATGCCTTTAGTAAATCTGTATGCAATATTTTTAGAATTATCAACAATTTTAAAGTTGTTTAAGTGCCGCTAAGCTTTTTTTTTATGGCGGCCATTAATTGTTTACATTTGAAACAGCAGACTAGTGGATTTGTTGCCAATCTAGAGAAACTTAGCTTCGCAACAACAAAGATAACGCCTTCATTTATTATTGCCAATTAAATCATGCTTAATCCTTTCTGGAATTTTTTCGAGGAAATAAGTGTTTAAGATTTACTTCGTAATTTTTAATATAGATATTTTGAGTTTTTATGTATTTTTGCCTTCTCGCGAAGTGAGAACTGAATTAATTGAATGAGAAATACTCAATCGTCTGTGAAAAACTGTTTCTTTTTTGCTTTGTTTGCTTAATTTCTTTTATACATCATTCTAGCTTTATTATAGTATTTGAATAGAACATGTGACAATGATTAGATAATTCTATTGTTTAAATGATATAAATTTTGTGCATTATGAGTTATAATATGAACGAAATATAATACTGTTAAGTGAATGTATCGCCAGAGTGTCGCTATGGTAAACAAATACTAGAGTGAATTTTAAAGAATGCATTTATTCTATTGTGGTTTATGCGCTGTCGGCGAAGTAGATTTAATTCAATCCAATAAGTTTAAATGAAATGCAAGAAAAAATGCGTATAATTTAATATTCTGTACAAGGAAGTCATTTGGTGTACACATCAGGTTTTGTTTTTGTATAATTTGAGATGAAATTCAGAAGAAATAAAAAATTTAAAGTTACGAGAAAAGTATAGTTTCAGAAGAATTCTTTTATTAGAAAAGAACTATATAAATCATCAAGCAAATTTTAAAATACATAAAATTTCAATTACAATGCAAATTTGCTTTACTGCATGTATTCTTCATGATTTAAACTCCATCCATAAAATAATTCTTTAATTTTTTACTCTACTCATTGCAGAAAAGTATTTAAAGCAGGGGAAGGGGCATAGGAGAACAAAAATATCACATGTAACTAATTACCCTTGGGTCTCAATCCTTTGAAAGAACTGGTAGATGCTAACCCAAGAAATATCTGTATAAATATAATTCAACTTAGAGTGAAGTATATTATTTACTGATAAGCAATAAAAATTATGTATGTGACAAAAACGAGTGTTGAAAAGATTCAGCTCAATAGCTAGAGACAGATTTTTCAAATTTAAGCTTCAGCTGAAAAAATTTATAGCTGGTCTAATGTATTGCATTACATTACAGTAAAACTATAATGTAATGCTGCATTGACTATCCAGAAAGTTCAGAAAATGCTGAATTATGGGTATGTTAAAATTCCATATCGTTCAGTGTATAAAAAAGTAAATTTATAGAATAGCAAAATCAATGGGAAAAATTTCTGCTCTAAAATAATAAAATCAATCATTCTATTTGTTACCATCTTGAATATCAAAACCCTACATTTAAAATTGTGTAACATTTTGGGGAGGGGGTCACATTTCAGTCATAAAAGGTGACTTATTTCGATTGTTATGGAATCCCACCAAACATGAAAGTTGGCAGAAATGTCAGTAGATGTTTAAATGAATAGAACTATTTGGTAGATAATAAAGAGCTACAAATTGTGGATATAGCATATAAAAAACTTTAACAGTTTATTATAATTTTTCATGGTAGATCACTATTGTTTAGCCCTTTCCCAAATCATGTATCGTGGCTTTTTTTGGTGCTCATATACCCTGCAACTATGAAAATACTCCATGCAGTTCCAGATATTAATCATTCTTTTTCAAAATGTGAAGGAAAAACAGAACTTATATCTTCTCTTAGAAAAATGAAACTAGCTGTGTAATGAATGATGTTACAAATCTCTCATTTACTTAATTTTCGGCGTGAAATTGTTTTTCTAAAATTCTAAAATATTTTAGTTACTTGATTTTTCCAGTTAGTTATTTGCCAGATAGTTGGGATTACAGATTTTACTGTACTGACAGCTTTCTTCACAACTATCAAATTAGAGTTTCTTATAAAAATTTGGCTCCTACTAAAGAGGAAGCAATAATTAACAGTACGTTCTTATCCTTTTCTACGGTAATGCAATAACATGTTGCAAGTATGACCTATGAAAATTTGACTTAATTCTCTACAGTTTTTTAATCTGTCCTCAACTTTGGCAGCTTTCTAAAAGAGTTATAAACATCCAGTTTTTAAGGGGGGGGATGAATATGAAAGTGCTTTCTATTTAGGAGTTTCTGAATTACATAACACAATGAACATGTAACACAATGAAGAAAAAACATTCAGTGTCTCTATATTAATTCTGACTAAAAATATTGAAATACTGTGATCTTATTCAATCTGCTTCATTCTTTTTAACTATATACAGATAATTCACAATCAAAAATGACAAATTAATTTATTGTTTATATTTTAAAATTAATTAATGCTACAATATTTAATCAGAAATGATTATCATAAGCAGATATAAGAAGCATTAATTTAAAAGCATTTAATACGGAAGTTTGATAGTTTATAAACAAAATATGTCAAATGCTATACAAAATATATATTGCACTTTTGTAAAGTTTTTATAAATATTTAATTCTCATAAATCTTGAAATAACTTTTGTACTTTTAATTAAATAAATTACAACCATAAAAAAAGAAAGTTTTATATATTATGTTTACCTTCTTCCGGTACATTTTCATAAAATTGTCTTGCAAAAGGCACAAAGAATGTGTTATAGATGATGTATTTGCTAGCATTAAAACAGAGCTACGGCATCCAATATGAGGCACATTGCATAAACCTATTTTCCATCCTTCCTCATTCCATGGCACAAATTTTAAATTTGCTTTTAATCTGGAAAATATTATTAAAATAAATATACAACAGCCACTTAGATAATTAACTTCTGGCAATATGATAAAAACATTTACCAATACTTAATGCCATGTGTTCACTATTAAACATATTCATAAAAATAATTATTGCAACTTAAAAATACTGTCATCTAAATCAGGGCTTTTCAAACTTTCTCATTTGACAATCCCTTTTATATAAGCAAATGTTTTTATGATACTAGGTACAAAGATATATAAACTAGAGATTATGAATTAAAATTTTATTCATAATAAATTACAAGGAAAATTTATTCAAAAACAATTCTGTAGTGTAATTTTATCATGTATTAAAACAAGTATTCATACTAAAGACCTGGGTGTGCTTATTTATTTTTACATAAAGACTTAAATCTCAGATGAATATTTAATACTGCAGGGTGTAGAGAGTTCCTGAAGTGTTTTCCAGAGTTGACATTTTTTTTTTTAACATAGGATTAAATTCTTCCATAATGGTTGGATAGGAAAGCTAAAATCAAGATGCTATTTGAGGTGTACATGAATGCTTATATCTTTGAAACTACAAATGTTGCAACCAATCTAAATACATAATTAGATAGATGAAAGAGCATGTTAGCACAAAGAAATTTAAAATTCAACAAAGGGTATACACACATAGTAAATTAAATATAATGATAATATTCTTATACATTATCTTATTTATTTAAAAAGAAAATCTTCGAATGTGTTCATTTTATAGCTGTCCATGTTTCATTCCATAATTCAACAAAAAATAACAAACTTGCTTTATAAAAAATATATGTTAGGTATTTTGGACTACTATAAATATGATTTTAGCACAGTTTATTAAAATGAGTGTTGGCAAATGATTTTACATTAGGCTTTTAAAACTGACTGAACAAAGTACAGTATATATTTTGATATATTTTTTCAACCCAGCAATAATCTAACACAGTAAAAACTTACAAGAAATGCACATAAGCCAATATTTTAAAACTGCATTTTTATGAATCTATTTATATGAATTTATTTTTAATGAATTAAAAATTTTCTAAACAACAGAAGTTAACGGCATTATGTTTTATGTGAGATTCATAATTTTAGTTTCTTATACTGAGAATGCAGCGAGTTTAAAATTGGTGTACGGATATAAGTTATAAAAATTTCCAAATACTATTATACTATATATTCAACTAGGATACTTCTTTGAACATCAAAGAGGCATTTATCTGCATTTTTAAGATTAGACTGCAATTCTGCACATTTGTGTCTTTTTATTATTTTTTGTTCATGAAAATAAGATGAACTTACATTGAATTCAGTTTTCGTGAAATTTAAATTTTAAGTAGATGAAAAAATATACTGACCGATCAATGTTATGCTGAACATCAGACATAGAAACTTGACCACGACACAGAAGAGCACAAGCAAGCAACATGCCTTGTGATAAAGGACTTTGAAATAACTGATGACTCATTGAAAATGCTTCAGTAAGCATCTGATCAATTCTATATAATAATGATGATAATAAATTTTAAAAGAAGTTAAATTCAAATAAAACATTTTAGAATATAAAAATTCAAGTAGAAATTTCTATGAAACTAAACTATAAAATGTAATATATTTAAGATCCATGAAGAAAGAAGAATGCAGCTTTCAATACTGGAGGAAAATTAAAAACAGTTTTTATAAATAATTAATTAAACTAGCATAACTTTATTAAATTTAGAAATAACTAATTGTCTCATACACTAGTAAAATCTTTTCAATCTGTAGAGGTATAATAATTTGTAATTGTTAATGGTGAAAAATGTATTTAAATTATAGCTATTCTCTCCTCGTCCCCCCCCAAATTCATTTGATTGTTGGAAAAAAAAAAAAAAAAAAGATTTTACAGTTTTTGTTCTATTTTCTTAATCATTATTCATTGGTACATCTGTAACACACTACTGACTTTTATAAAACTGTTCATTGATTGCTTATTTTATAAACTGCATATATCGCAAGAAATTTTTTATTAGTTAACAGAAGAAATTTTTGTTTTTCTAAAAATAATTCTAATTTGAAGTTTATATAGTCCATAGAAAATATATTAAACAATCATCAAGTTTTTCATACTTTTAAGACAGAATTTCTATATCTTTAACTAGAGAATTTTCTTTTGAATTAGGAATTTCATCTCATCTAAAATAACTGTGTAAATATTATTTTAATTTAATACGTAATATGTATTTCATTTCTTGTAAATGTAATACCATGTTTAGGTAAACATATATATGTGATATTTGCAGTAGATCGACATTGGAAATGATGAAGCTTGGCATCAAAATTCGGACATGGCCGAGTGATTTACAGTAGAAATGATGACATTGAAAGATTTCATTTTTTAAACTCCATATCTTTATTCACTTAAAATGGCAGATCATTATTCTTTTAGAGTCTCCAACATTGCATATGCGATAGTAATTTAGACTAAATATGATTAAATTTACTGCGTCATACTATTCAAACAAAGAAAGAAGGGAAGAGCGGCAGCAAAAGGGTATTACGAGGCAAGTAGAGAAAAGCAAGGTGATCAAAAATGGCATGAACTCTACATTTATAGCACTGATTATGAAACATGCCAGAATATTCTCGAAAGCACCGGTCTAGGGGGAAGATTCTGAAATTGTCAAAAGTTAATTAGAGGTTGCTTGCTCGCGTAGAGCAAAGCCATCATATTTTTTATTATTTTACATACATATATATATACGTTTTATATATCTATTTGAAATTAAACATATATATGTCCTCCACGCCTTGAGAAATTCTATAAAATTGATGACTAGACAATAGTTGAAGCAGAGAGTGGAATAACACATGCAAGCAGAGTGAAAGGAAATAGCAAAGTGAGTCTGCATTTCAGCAAGTTTATAGAGCTGATTTCTTTGTTTAAATTTTGAATGTTAATTGGACAAGAGGTAACCACACTGAAGCATTAATAAAATGACAATGCAGATTAGTTTTCAGAAGACGCAAATTGGATTTAGAAAGGAAACACAGCCAAATTAAAATGAGAAATTAAATTTAGTTTTCTTTCATATTTTATATCTCACATACTCACACAAACACACACATATATAGAGTATATTTTGATTCAAGAAATAAACTTACTTTACTATTGGAGATATTAAGTATTTTTGACATTTTTTATATTATATTAAATACAGACCATAAATTTGCCTATAAATTTTTTATTTTAAATGAACTTTACGTTTGAATGTATATTCTGCTGTCTTTTAAAATTAATCTTGAATTTATTTGGTTAACATGTGTAAAACATTTATTTGTCCATAGCATTTTAGATGTTCAGTTTTCAGTTTAAGTGCACCTCAGAACTAGTTTGTTTGCATTCTGCATAGTAAGCAAAAGCTTGTTTATAATGGCATTGAATAGAGGTAGTCTTAAAAATAGTAGTAATAGAGACTCTTCTGCTGTAAAAAACAGAAAAAATAGCAAAAGGAGAAAAAAAAGGTTAGAAATGATAAATTTCCTTCAATTTAAAATTTCAGTTCAAGCAGTTTCTATAAACTTCTAGTGCTATTAATCCAATATCACACATGCAGAACATAATAGTGGAGGAAATCAATTTAGAAAACAGAAATCTATTTAGGAACAGAAAATCAATTTAGAAAAAACTTTGACTGTTTATTATTAAGCAGTGTCTTACTTGTTGATTCTTAAGCAGTGTGTTACTTGTTGATTTGTTGAGTATAAAAATGACTTAAAAGGTTTGGTAATGGTTGCGATTTTTTAAAAAAATAAAATATTTCAATTCGATTTTATAAAAGAGTCTGTACATAAAACATTCCTACATTTATCCCTTTTCTCTCTACTAATTTTCCTTGCAATAATTCTATTTTCATTGCATATAGTGATATTTTAAAGATCTAGATTTTGTGTATTTAATAAATCTTGATTAAATGATTCTAAGGATCTGTGATTCCATGTCTCGAGCTATTTTTTTACCTGCAAATCATTCAAATGTAATGTGAAAATTTTAAAACAGAACTCTGAAAGACATAACCTATAATCCTTGGTTCCTAAACATGTGAATTATCTGAATTCTAATGCAGTGTTTTTAATTAAATGAATAAAAAGGTCCTATTCATACTTTTAAAAAGGGATCAATAAATATAATTTTGAGTATCTCTGTATAAGGATAAAAGTTGCGAAAAGGAAGTTTGTAAACAATTTTCTCAGATATTTATAAAACTAAATTACACTTAATATAAAGATACTTACTTACAGCTATCACGGAATGAAAATAAAGGAGCAGCACTAGGAACCAAATAATGAAGATGAGGATATGGAGTCATGTTCATAATTATCTCATTTAGGTCAACATTTAAGCTACCAGGAAATCTGGAAGAGCTAAAACACATTACAAATTTAGAACAAATCTATTTCCATAAAATTTTTTTGACCACTGCAAGGTTTGATTTAGACACTTTAAAGATCATGAAAAAGCTAGAGTATGTGTTTAACTTCTAATACATATCGTTATATGAGGTTAGTAAGATAAACTATACAGAATACTATTTTTATTTTATTTATATATATTATATATGGATTTTTTTACAGTATCATTAGCTAAATGTATGCTTTGGAATAAATAAATAAAAGGTTTTTTAATTAATTTTTCTTTTAATTAAATAAAATAACCATTCAAAAATTTACATTGTAAAAGAAGGGGGAAAACAAAAAAAGAATATAAATAGGAAGCAGAATTCATAATTTTACTATAGTAAACATGCAAAAAGTTCATTATCTAATAAAATGAAAACTGCTAAAATATGGGTGAGAACTATTGGATTGTCCAGAAACTACTATAACTAACTATAATTAAAATAATAAAATGATTTTTTATAGAAAGAATTTTATAAGTAATATATTAACTGTTTTTTTCAATAAGTATTTAACATCTCACAGTAAATTTCATGATTCCACTTTCAAAGAATTTTTGAACTTTTTCTGCAAAAATTTTTTTGAATAGGGATTTGATTTTATTATATAAAATGAAGCTTTTTACCTCAGAGTTTTGCACAGCTGGAAAAAAAAAAAAAAAAAAAAAAGTACTCTAATAGTTCATTGTTAGTACCTGATATGTACCTTCATATGGTACCTGATAGTTCTATATTGTAGATGTGGAAACACATCCCAATCAAGCACCAATACTTTCCGATAAACTGAATGAAAAATTGAAGATGGATTATTAAAAATATTAGGTCAGTCACCCTAAATGTAATACAGTGGAAAGTCTTCCGTAAAATGAGGAAGCCTCGTAAAAATAATTAGAAAAAACAGAAATTTATTAAATTTTACTTATTTAGATCTTAGTAGATATGGAGTTAGAATACAAAATAAAATGACAATAGTCTGCAATATTACGCAGTTGTTTAAAATTTTAAAGCTCTGGTTCCTAAAACTTTTGAAACTTGCTTATAATCTTTGATTGTCATTGGCAGTCATTTTATGTCAATATCTGAGTTTTAGGCTGTTAATTATTGACCAATACTTACTCTTTTGAGATTACCATATTAGGAAGGTCATTACATGAAAGGTTGCATGCTAGCTACAAATAACTAATTCCTAAAAATGGCAGAGTTAAAAATTTCATGTTTTAATGAAAGTATCATGCCACCACAAATATATGTGCAGACAGTTTGCATTAGTATGTTTAATCATATTTTGTCAAACAATTTTTGACACTTGAAAGAAAGAGACTTGCTCTAGAATACTGTATTGTTAAGTTTGTAAAAAAATATCATTATCATTAAGTACAAGGTGTCTGAAATGGAACTATCATGATACCAGATTAGAACTTTTTTTTACTTCCAGTTCTGTTGCAAAAAATCAGCTACAGAATGTCACCATATCATGTGTACAGCTTTTGTGGAGCTGATTTTGATGCATGAGAATTTGACGCATTCAAGAATTTACCGATTCAAAAGTTTTTGATATGTAATCTAATCAGTTTGGAAAAGCATGAAATTTAAGAAACAAAGCAGAAGAATGCAGCCCCCCCCAAAACCCCCCATTCTTATAGTCTGTTAAAGTGCAAACTTCAGAGTTATTTTCCAGCTGAGCACATTTCTATCTCATATTTTCTTTCGTGAATGTGAGCCAAGTTCACTGAATCTGGACATTTTCTTACTCCTTTAAATTTCTATGAATTATTAACTGATAACTGAAGTATAAGCAAAAAACAAATAGTGGCACAATAACGATCAGCAGTAACAATATGGCCACACTCCAGATACTGCATCAGGATAACAAATCACAGCTTGCATCTCCAACCAATACCCACTTTTCTAAACATCTTACCATTTCAATTGCTGTGATGTATCTGAGAATTTATTTTACCTACCCACACAACCGCTGTGAGACAACTAGTGCCATTATGTCTACACTCTGGGGGAAAGTATTCCCTCATACTTAACTTGTACTGTAAGAATAAATATCTTTCAAATACTGATACAATAAATATAATAAATATCTTTATACATAAATACAATAAATATCTTTCAAATACTGATGCTTGTAACATTTTTTTTTCTTTTTCTTTTTTGGGATCCATCTACATATATTCCTCACATCGTGGAAAAATGGCAGCATATAAAGCCAGAAAATACTGAACCCGCATAATCCTCCACTCAAACATGTGTAAATTGAAGCCTAGATTTTGAATATTTTTTTTTATTTCATGTTTTATGCAAATTTAATGAAATTTTGATTAATAAATTTAGCAATTAAAATGCAATGCATTTCCGTTTGACAAATTGTAAGATATTTATGTTCCAAATTTAATCAGAAAACTCAGCAATTTAAGAGAATGAATGGGTCAGTGATTTAACCCCACTTTTGCATGATTAAAATTTAACTATGAAAGGTAGTTTAATTTAAAGTTGGCATATTAAAACAAGTGTAATATGAATTTAAAGTTTTTCACTTTTCCCATTTCCTGGGAATCTTCTGGAACAATATACCCCAATCGTACTGTGAACTGGGACTATTTGTTCCAATCGCCATTAAACTGCATGTGAATAAATAATAAAGTTAAATTAAATGTATTGAATATTTTATTCTTACGGTACAAGTTAAGTATGATATAGAGCCGTCTTTACAAAGTGCAACCTGATACATTTGGCAAATAGGCCAAGTTTCTTTAGTCATATATATTTGTTCCCTAATTCCTTATAAACACTGCATAGAAACCCATTTAAAAGTGGGTTTTATTTATCCAATAGGAAATGAAAACTAATCTCTGAGAGGTATGTGCCCATGAGGACCGAAAGGGTTAAGAGAAATGAGTTTTCACTCTCTGAAATAAAATATTTCTATTTTCCACGCACCAACATGTTGACATTTGGCAAAATGCGAAATATTTAATGTTTCTTTCAAATTTAATCTGCACATTATTGATTAACAAATTAAGCAATTTAAAAATTCATCTCTGTTGTTATTAATCACTAGCTTGATCCATAAAATTATACTAGATGGACTCATTTAAAACATAATATATGTTTCCCTTCTCATAATAACTATTATTCAGCTAAAAGGTCAAATATCCTTTCACTTTTCTTTCATTTATATTTATGATCAAATCACACAGAAAACATAAATTTATTTCACATGCATTATACTGATCTAAACAGAAAAGCAATTTTTATAACTTATAGTGCATTTTTCAAAATATAAATGAATATTTAAAATTCCCTGAATCTATTCTTATTCACATATCAGTTGTTTCGTTTTTAATTGCAAGAGAATTACTTTGCTTAAATAACATCTATCAAATAGATCAAAATTATTTTTAACTAGCAGCTTTGCTGCCAACCTTCGCCTGGCTTTTAACTGTACCGGAAAAATGGCTGAAGGGAACACCAAACGTTAAATTTAAAAACTGTGTAGAATTTTACTCTGCAGATAAACTTCATAAAAAAAAAGTTATTACGTATAACAAAATTACAATGAAATAAGCAATATCCTTTAATACAAATATTAATTATCCTAATAAATAAATTAAACAACTTCCCTTTGCAAAATCTTAAGAACTCAAATGGTATAAAGGAGATTAAGAAATTTGCTTCCTTAAAAAATCACTCAAAACTTTTCAATATCTTAAAAACAGAGAAATGAGCAATAAATAACATAAAAGATTACAAAAAACAAAAAATTCTGAAAAGCAAAGTATAATTAATAATATTTCATCTTATATTTTCAAGAGAAAAAAATTACAATGAAATAAGCTATATCCCTTAATACAAATATTAATTATCCTAATAAAAAAATTAACTAACTTTCCATTGAAGAAAAAATTATCATGCAGAACTTTTCAATATCTTACAAACAGTAAAATAAGCAAAAAAATAACATGAAAGCAACTCAAAAAACATAAAATTCCGCACAGAATTTTATTCTGCAGAACAACTTTATCAAAAAAATCAATAAAAATGTATTATATATGTAAAAATGACAATGAAATATGCCAATCTCTTAAAAACAGTGACATAAGTAATACGATGAAAAATTGTTGCCAAACCCATATTTCTAAAAGAATGAAACTATTCAAAATGATGTTATTTCATCAAAAATCTATCAACAACAAAAGACAGGAAAATTGTTGCCAAAATCACATTTTTAAAGACGTGAGATGTGAGAAGTACACTCGGAAGCTTCATCTAAAAAAATTTTTAAAAATACAAAATATTATTAATTATTCCAAAATTCTTTTTGTAAAAGCAGTTGCAAGGATGAAAGTTTAATGTGTCCAAAAATCAAAGAAAAATAAACTGTACATTTAAAAAAATAAACCTTTTTAGAAGAAATCCCGTTGAAAAGGTGTTAAACTCCATTTGTTAAATAAATTCGTATTTAATCGATTTATTGAAACACAAAATTTATTTTAAGTTTGTAAAATAGCTAAGTGCCTACATTTCATGACGATGTGAAAATGGAGTGTGTAGAATAAAATCTCGCTTTCCTATAGCCCATTATGTCTCAAAATGACATGATTTCGTAACAAAACATAAAATTAAAAAAATTCTAATTCGAATTTCGAAAAAATCGTTTCGAGGTGCGCTGGCTCTTATCTAGATGCACCTATGTACCAAATTTCGTAGCCGTGGGTCTATTAGCTTACGCTCAACACGAACGAAAGACACACACACAGACAGACTCTTTCTTTTATTATATATAGAGATTGACCAGAATTTTAATTACAGGATTTTATAATGACATTAATAATCTATGTAATATTTCTAATTTTGAAACTATATCGGTTATTTCTATCAAAATACTCTACTTATGTATTAAGGAGATTACTCTGGGATAGAAGATACAAACAATTATAGCAACAGCATTACATATCTGTAAGACATTTAATGAATGAAAGAGACTTTAATAATTTTACTCTATTAAAATGAATAGTGCATACACATAATGGATATACCAGTACAGTTCACAAAGTAGTTTTGCATAAGCATAGAATCTATGATAACATTTAAAAAATGCTCACAAAGAAATTTAAGTCCTATTTGAAACACAGATTGAAATAATTAGATATTAAAACATACCAAGTTAAATTCAGGATTGTATTAGCTACAATATTATTCATTTCATCAAAAGGTTTACAAGCTTTCTTATCTCTAGGATTTCCAATTACAGATGTTGCATTTTCTGATTTATCTGCACTATACCTGCCATGTGGATGGCTGTTTTTCACATTAGAAACTTTATTACATATGTCCCCTAAAGTCTGCATAGAAAGTAATAAAAATAAATAAATTACACTGAATTATATATTTATGATACCTAAAATAATCTGAAAATATTTATTTATTAAAGTAAAAGATTACATTATAAGTTAGTTTGCTAAAACAAAGATAAAAAAGGAATTTACTAATTACATTCACAGAAAATGAAATTAAGCCACTTCATAGATGAGTATATCTATACATACATGATAATTTTGGGCAGATGAGGAAACCAGTTATGCAGCAGTCATGGGGATGGTGATAGCAGATAGCTTGAAACTATTGCATGATGATTGGATGGAATTTTGGAAAAACCGCAGATAACTGGATAATCATAGCATGACTTTATTACTTGAGGACTAATCCATTAAGACATTGCTTCTTCACTGACTTTAATAAGAAAGGTATAACTTTTGCTTTGTATAACTTTAATTTTTCTTTATGCATTTTGAATAAAATTTTTTAATGTCACTCTTTCATTATTTTTTCAAAATAACACTTGTATTTTTTAGGAACGAACATCCTTTAAATAATAGCCTTATCATGACTTTTTTTCATATGTTGCCTAAAAATGCCAGGCATTCCTATAAAATGCCTTAGTATTTTATAGAATTTTTTTCATTCTAATAGAATAGGCGTTTTTGATTTTGCCAGTAATATATACACCGATTACATTTTAAATAAAAGATACATGAGTTATTCAGGCACAGCAAGCACAAAAAAAAGGGGGGGAGTGCATATAAAGCAGTTGCAGTATTTATAAGCTTGGCTCCTTTGTTAGAATCCTAAACCAAAACTGGGCAAAAGTTTACAGCAATATAGATTACGTGATGCAGTACAGATGCTTTGAAGGGGGTTATATTTATGTTAAAATTAGGAATTAAAAGGTAATTTGCCAGTAAAGTTATAAATTTGTTACTAATTTTCCCATGCATGCACTTAACCTCTGTTCATGATTGTAATTAATTCTTGAAGGCTGCTCCTCATAAAAAATATTCATAAATTGGAACTATTTTCCCCAAAGAAATTACAGTGAAATGGATTAATTAAATCTTGGACCACAAGTGATTACTTAGTATCTTATCTTTTCTGCAAATTATAGTACCACATAACTCTCCTTGAGACTTACCGGACTTCTATTTCACTCAAAATTTGCCCAGTGTGATTTGTTATTGCCTACATTTTAAAATGTTTCTAAAATGAGACATAGTATTATGACTCTAAATGCTTATGCTGTAACTTGCTACTGCTTTAACAAAGTGATATAATCATACTTTGCTCTTATTTCATTTTGCATTTGTGGATCAAAGACTATAGTCATCCTTCTTTTGTCCCTCTTTCTCTAATGACATTTCCTCCACAATCTTTAAGGTCTTTTAATAATGCCTCTATGTCTTCATTATTAATTTTTCCAAAAACACAATGTTATAGACTCAAAAAGTTCATATTGTCAAAGCCTGTGACATCTGTTCCTGCAACACAATTTGACCATAATTTTCTCCAGATCTAATTATGGTGAATCATTTGTTGCCAAGCTTAAGTTACAGAAGTTAATAATAGTTAAGCAACAGAAAATATTAAAATGATGTTTTCAGGGGTCTCTCAGCATTTATTCTGTGTGAGAGATTATCTCAAAAACACCTTTGAAAATCATTTGTTCGTTATATCATGTGTTCAAAATTTGAGTTTCCACTATACATTTAAATCTTTAGCAAATTTAAATATCAAATTACTAGGGCTATGAATCAAATTTGAAAGCTATATACAATTTGTTAAAAATTTCCTAATAAACAAATTATGTTATAGTAATCAAACTAACCTTTAATTAATTCCTTGAATATATATATATATATATAATCCACATAAAAATCATAAACTTGATTATAACTATTTTTACAAAAATCTTTTAATACTATATGGAATGTTTTCTCTTTCTCTATGTTTTACCAGAAAGCTTATAAGGTATTTTCTTCCTCCTTTCTGCATGCCTTTGTGATGTAACAGTAGCACACTCGGTGCATATTCGAGAGGTCCAAGTTCGAGTCTCAGCGAGGGCATTGCTAATTTTTTATGTCTGCTGCTTCAAAATAACCTAATGACTCTACAAGCTTTAACTACAGTGAAGAATATTACAATGTATTATCATTATTAAATATCACAGAAAATTATGCGATTGCTGCTAAAAATATAAAGATTACTCAGGTTATTTTAGAAGTTAGGGAATGATCACAAAGAAAAGGAAAACTTACTTTGTTTTCAAAAGGAATGACACAATCAGCAAAATTCATTAGTTGACTATTTGCTAATACTGTATTGTATGGAGATGTTACAACATCATCATGTATGGATGGGAAAACAGCAAAAACAAATCTAAATAATTAATGAAAATTATATGTTATTAAATAATTATGATGCATTTTCAAAATAAAAATAATTTCCAATCAATTTCAGTTTTGATTTTTAATACATTATTACATTTTAATATACATTTTATAATTTTTCAATGCTATTACAAAATTCTACAGTACTAATAGCTAATAAATGTTACCTAAATTTCTTAAAAAATTGTTTTCATGGAACATATATATATACATCAAGAAACACCAGTGACATTTCATATTTACTTGAAAGTAAGACCGCTTTATATTCTAGGATAAATCTTCATATAGGTGAATATTTATTTTGTCTTCTACAAATTTTGAAAAAAGGAATCTTAGCCTCCCTTTCATTTACAATTTCCTTGAAGTAACAGCACTATTAGCTATGGCTCAAGAATGGTGATACATTCTTACTTATTTGTCTTCAGGGATGTCAATAACTAGTATAATAGATGCAGGCCTAAATTTAAACAGCTTAGCTAACTGTGAATATTATAATTAGCGTTAGTTATATAGGACATTATACAAACAACATTATGCAAATACAATTATTCCCTATGCAGTTTAACTAATATCTAAAAAGTGTAATTATTCTATATAACGTGATAATTAAATTCCATCCCTCATTTTGAAATTTTATTTGTCAAAATACCAGTTTATAAGATCCTACCAAAATTTAGAACCAAAAGATAGCAAAAAGAGGGTGTCTTATTTCTGGTAGATACAATTAGTGTGAAATGCTGCAAGTAAACATTTTTAACATAAACTCCCAAACCTTTTGCCAGAACTACTATGACAGATAAGCGTATCTGAAAACACTTTTCAGAACCATTACAAAGACTTGCACTACATTCTTGATCAAAATATATATATAGGGAATCTAATTTATCTCACTTTTCTGCGAAGAAGGAGCTAAATCAGAATATAGATGTTAATTACAGACTCATAAATTGAGGTATTTTGCTGGGTTTGATTATATTTGACAAAAACAAATCAATATGCAGCAGCACTGTCTTTAAACATTAACCAATCACTGTCACAGTATAATTTCGATATATTTTCAAATAACAGCAGAAATAGCATAGCTTACATAAAATGTCGTTAAATGTAGTACTACCAAGGATGAAAATAATCCTTATCATAAACCTCTCTAATTTATGTCATTTCAAATTAATTCATGCCATAGGCTTCTTACATAAAGTCAATGACACAAAGACTTGTGTAACGTTTCAACCTATTTATACTTTCACATTTCAAAGTTGAAACTTTTAACTGCCAATGAGAAAATGTAAACAAAAACTAAATCATTCGGAGCAGGGATTTCATCTTGGGCATGTCACATTCGCTCTCAGCTTCTCTTGCTAAAGTGTACTTATTGTGCAAAATTAGGTATGGCTGCATATATCAAGAATAAAAGAATGCTCAGCTGGCCTTGACTATTGCAACTATTTCTTTATGCAAAAACTTCTAAACCATTATACTGTTACGAAATGTCCAGACGTGGTGAGATGGCTTCCCTGCAAAGCAGGTTTAGGGTTGCCATAAAATGGTAAGGGAAGGCAGGGTTGCCACATTTGGTGAGAAATCATCTGTTTGGCGACAAAATTGGCAATATGCCATGGACGGATGGAGAACCTTCTGGAACGAATTCTAACCGGTTTAGCCCAGAATGTTCTCGAACACAAGCTGGAAGCTATCTAAACCCTGCTAGTCCGCAGTCAGTTAGTGTGAGCCTCGTAGAGAGGGCGAGTCAGAGTGCGAGATAGTTAGTACTGAGTTGGTGTCTCATCTAGCGAGTCAATCCCTGCGGAGTCAATCGAGTTGACAGCAAGTGCACTGAGTCTTGTAGTGTATCATGGTTAGTGCATCGTCGAAAGAGCGTGTTGAGCTCCGGGAACGACTGAAGAGTCGGAAGCTGTGCTCTGCGTGTCGTCAACTGCATCACGAGTTGTAGTGTGGAGAGTCTCGAAAGTACGTGGAGTTCCAAGAACGACCAAGCAGAATTGCGAGCTGTACTCTAGTGCTTTGCCATGAAGCTGTCTCCACCATGATAGCCTGATAACCTGGAGGCTGTGTCGCTGATGTGTCAGCGTGTCTATAGTAGTTCATCAATGACTCTAAAAACGTGTTTTGGAGCTGTCCTGACAATACTGGCCAATAAAGTGTGTTTCGATACTTCATAAAGTTTTGTCGTTATTCACTCCAAATCCACACGAACCCCTTACGAACGTAACAATATACCGTATTTGACGGCATGTAAGACACACTTTTTTTCCTAAATTTGGTCTCAAAAAAGTTACTTGCGTCTTCTACGTGAAGGACAAAGGTTAACTTTCAATACTGAATGCTATTTTTAGCTCGGATAAAGATCTAGACACACATAACTTTTTCTACATCTACATGTGTGTGGCCTTCTAAATAAGGATGCATCTTATATGCCAGTGCGTCTCATATGCCGTCAAATACGGTATATGTGTGTGTGTGTGTGTATGTGGGAGTGCATATAGATGGACTTGTCATTGATTTCCTTGGATTACTGGGATGCGTTGCAGAACAGAACCTGCAAGGATACCGAAATGTATCCTTGCAGAAAACTGCTGAGGAGAGACAGTAATGCTTATGGCAAGCATATGTTATAAATCATGAGCAGGTGGTTTAATTTCTGATTGAGCTGTAATTTAATAGAGTAAGTATTAAACTTCTGGTGAAAGCATCAGCATATGTAAAATTTTCATGCACATCATCCTTTGAAACAACCTTATTTGTATTCATTGTCTAAAATACATGTGTGTGTCTATAATCCTGGGCTAATTATTTTGTCAGCTAAGAAGACATCACAACAAATATGAGGCCTGGTCTGAATTAGGGTGCCAAAGATATAGAAATACACGAAGAAAATTAATTTTATGATTAGTAGTAGTTGATCATTTGTTAAATATGTTCGCAAAAACAACAAAAGATGATCTCTTAAAGTATGTGAGGAAACTGGCCTAAATGTGGCCTTCTAAATAAGGATGCATCTTATATGCCAGTGCGTCTCATATGCCGTCAAATACGGTATATGTGTGTTTTTAAAAGAAACAGTGACTTTGTTGTTAATTTAATCAAAACAAGGATAGAAGATTGATTAGAAAAATTAAAATTGGCTTAGCTACAAAAACAAAACTTGAAACAGAAAATGCTCAGAACCAACATGCTCAATCAACTTCAGAATATCAGAAAATGAGATCATACAGGGATTAATTTAGAATGATTAATAAAAAGTATTAAATCATTTAACTACGATACAGCAGCATATTTCTGTTCTAGCAAAACCAGAAGAGTTGAATTTGTTTTTTGTGTTAATTGAGAGAATATTTCAAAATAAGAATGTTCCAGATGAATTCAAAGCAGAAGTACTGATAAATACATTGGAGAAAAAGTTCAAAATATTTAGATAAAGTACAGGCTTTAATGTTAAAAAGAGTTTGAATCAACTCCATAGACTGCTTCAAGAGTTCTAAGAAAGCTCAGAGATCACAAGATGAGATTTTTGTTCAGTTTGCACCAAAGAGTTAAAGATCTCATTAAAAAAGCTAACTGTCTCTAATAAAATGTATGAAACATTATATTCTGAATCAGTCATATTGGAAATAAGCAGGATGAAAGCTGACTTGAACCATATAATTCAGGAATAGGATGTGATCTATATTCTTCTTCTTGAGGAAAATCTTTAACTGATGACAACAGTACATGGGTAGAAAACTCAAAAAACAAAAAGCATAGCTTCAGTAAGCACTGTGTTAAAAAAGAACAAACTAAGCCTAAAGAATCATTGCATAATTTTGCAAAGCAAAACAACCCAATTGAAAGAATTTGCTACATTTGTGGAGGGATAGACTGTTTATTTCATGTCACATGAAACTGTTCTAAAGGTTTTGAAAAGAATAAAATCCGTATGACAAACACAATGTAGTACCACGAATTAAAAATAAATCAGAAATTTGGCTAAGGGTGAATTTGATACAGTTGGTGATGGAAAAACAGTGAAATATTGAAAGGATTCAGGAAGCAAGTTAATTAACTGAGAAAATTTCTTTCCAAACAAACTTTCTTCAGGAATATTGCAAATCAGAAGTTGTTTCAACATGACCATACATGCAGAGTCAGCAATTTTTGTTTTTTTACTGAACATAGGTGAGAAGCAGGTTGACCTTGAAGGGGCAATATATTTGGATTTGATTGTGAAGGAATTACAATCTCTCAAAAATGTTTACAATCACTGAGAAGTAAATCTGTCAATGACATGTGCTGGTACCAAGCTCGTCTTCAGAAAAAGTTTTGAGCTTACTTTCCACTTTGAGAACTTTTTGTACTTTTATTTCAGTAAGTGAGGAGGATGGAGAGATAAATTCATCTCACATCACAAATACAGAATTGCACAACAGTATTCCTGTCTAACTAATGATTACAAGCCACAGAAAATGTCCCTAGTTCCCAGCTAAAAATACACATTATATTAACGGATTATATACCAGTAAGTCCACCATCTACAAGAATCAGTTTTATGGAACAGAATATTATTTATAAGCAAATTTTAAAAATGGTTAGGCAATAGTAAATACGCCTCTCCCATGATCCTCTCTCAGCATACAGTGAAAATGAAGTAAGAGAAACATAACAATGTGATGTCACAGCAGCCATATTAAGAGGACCATGAGCATTTGACAGATTAAGAGATGCATTCCTGAAACATATGAACAAGATTCTGATTTTTTTTCGAGACTTTCAAGCAACAGGAAGTCACTGCAAAGTTAAAGTAACAACAAATGGTGCTTGAAAATCCTTCCAGAATAATCTCTGACAGAGGTACCACTTTTACATCAAAAGAGTTTGAAACTTTTTGCACCAGAGAAGGAATAGAACACATAAAGATTACTACTGGAATACCTACAGGAAACAGACAAATCAAGAGGATTCTGATACCTATTTTAAATAAGCTGTCTCATGAAGATCTTATTGATGAGAAATGATTCATGTATATTGCAGATGCACAGAGAATAATAAACAGTACAACTACAAGAAGTATACGGGATTTGAATTACTTGGCGGTACAAAAATGGAGAATAAGAAAGAGTTAAGGATCAACAAAATATTAAACGAAGAGTATTTAAATCAGCTAATGCAAATGACGAATAATTTTTAATATTTTACATAGAATAATAATATAGAAATTTCATAGTTTAAAATGGATACAATGTAAAATTTGTAAAACTGATTTATTATATGTCATTATTTTAAAATTAACGCCTAGAATAAAAATTGTTATAATACCTTGGAATTTTCAGGAACTCGTCATGTAAATATTCTAAAACTGCGGTACCAAGTCCAGAACCTGTTCCTAAAGTGTAGAAGAATTAGAACAAAAAATTTGATACATGATAAAATATTTATATATATAAACAAGATATCTCTATAAAAAACCAACAGGTTATTTTGTAATATTCTTTCCCACCTGAGAAGAAATAACCATGCTTTAACCACTTTGTCATCCGTAATGCATCTAACACATTCAAGTGAAACTTCTGCAGGGCGGCCGTAATGTGCTTCAAGCGTTCTTTTACATTTTAAAACCTTTAAACGTTTAAAACGCTTTCTAAATGTTTACTTGTTTGAGTTTTTAATTTTGTTTGTTCTAATACCTCCTAGAGGGCAGTACTTATCAGACATTCTATTTCTAATTGAATGTCCCCCCTGGGTTTTATGAATATTCGTGCCATTTTACATAAGATACAAGACAATGAGAGATCTTCAACGTCTACTCAGCAGAAAAAGAGAAAAAAATGAGGTTGTGAATTGGAAAGACAAGAAGGACATACGTTTGATGAGTACAGTCTATAATAACTCTATGATTGATGTTGAAACACGGAAAAGAACTGTAAAAAAATAATAATTGTAAAAGATTACAACAACAAAATGGGAGGAGTGGACTGCCTGGATCAGATGTTATCAAATTAATCCTGCTGTTAGAAATAAGCAGAGATATTATTACTTTTCCATTATGCTTTATTTTCTTATAATTTTACTTAATATTCATTTACGTTCATCCACTATGAAAGTTAGGTATGTACAGAGAAAACAACATTACACACTGCGAAAAACAAAGGGCCGCTGGGGAGAAATTTTCGCGGACAGGAGAGGACGGCAAAAGGGTTAATAAGAATAAAAAGTAGAATAGAGAGAGCAATTTAGTTAATACAAAACATAGCAAAAATAAGGAAACTAATCTCCCACAACTTCTGTTCATTCATAGGATCAGTGCTGTATTATTTATCTACAGCAGGTCTTCCACTTGAGAACCCTGAAGAAACTGCAAGACATTAACAGTGGTGCCCTTGGTGAGACAGCTAATGGTATAACTAATTATTACTAATAACAATATAACTTATTCAAAAATAACAGTGACAAGGAAAGTTATTATAGACATACAAATGAAGATAAATCTAAATACAATGAAAATATTTTATTACTAATATAGTAATGTTATATGCAAATAAAATATAATGAAATAAGTAAAAAATTAATTTTGATTAACTTTTTTCACCACAGGAAAACTTGATAACTGTGCACAAAATACACTATTTACTAAATCTCACTTCTCCCCCATGCCATTTTCAATACATTAAATTTTGTATGATAAATCAGAAAAGTATGCATCATTTCTAAAACTTGAACATAAATATGATGTGGCTCGATTAAAGTTCATTACTATTAGTGAAAATATTCTCTTCTTTTAAATATATACAGTACAAAGTCTTTAATCTGGATGTCCATAATTCGGAATGATCTATAATCCGGGCCTCAAAGCTACAAACTTTCTGCGCATGCGTAAACACATAACGCATTTACGCATGCACGTTTAATGTATAACGGACGGTATAAGCTACGCTAAAAATATCTATTTCAGTTAATGTTGCAGATTGCACTGTTCCTTAATCTTCTAAATGGATCCGGCTTATTATTTTTTGCAAACTGTTAGAGCAATTTTATAAAAAGTAAGCTTGAACTTTCGATTATGTCAAAAAGAGTTTCCGATTCTGGAGCTGCCAAAGGATCTACAAAGCGAAAGCATGTTTCAATGTCAATCAAACAAAAAGTGAAATTGCTGCAAAAAATGGATAAAGGCATGAAGAAAGTGTCAGAGAGGTTAGTGAAAACGAAAAACTTTTGATTGACAAGTTAGTCGGTATTCTAGGCACAGCAATTACAGGACTTGAACAGCGGAACTTTTCTTGTAACTGAACTAGAAATTATGTCTGTTTATAGAATTAAAGAGAAAGTAGTAGCACATAAAACAAAGCAACTTAAACAACTTACATTGAAAGAAATGTTTAATAAAGTAAACAAATAAATACAGTCAAAAGTCGCTAATTCGGACACCCATAATCCGGAATGATCTATAATCCGGACCTCAAAGCTAAAAACTTTCTGCGCATGCGCCGCATTGGCACATGCGCACAGGCATTTTACGTGTGTGCGTAAGACCTTGACTACTGCGCATATGCGTGTGCGCAAGTGCAGAATATGTATAACGGACAGTGTAAGCTAAAATTATCTAATTATCTATTTCAGTTAATGTTAATATGATTGCGTTGTTCCTTAATCTTCGAATTGGATCCCGCTTATTATTTTTTGCAGACTGTAAGAGCAATTTTATAAAAGTAAACTTGAACTTTCGATTATGTCAAATAGAATTTCCGATGCTGGAACTTCCAAAGGATCTACAAAACGAAAGTATGTTTCGATGTCCAACAAACAAGAAGTGGAATTGCTGCAAAAAATGGATAAAGACATGAAGAATGTGACAGAGAGGTTAGTGAAAACGAAAAAATTTCGATTGACAGGTTAGTCGGTATTCTCGGCACAGCAATTAACGGGACTTGAACAGAGGAACTTTGTAACTGAACAAGAAATTATGTCTGTTTATAGAATTAAAGAGAAAGTATTATCACATAAAATGAAGCAACTTAAAAAACTTACATTGAAAGAAATGTTTAATAAAGTAAACAAATAAATATCAAGCTTTTTTTTTTTGTAAATTTTGATACCCTTTAGATCATAATTGTTCTTTATTTCATAAATTACGATTTCATATTTTTAATTTTATAATTTCTGCATGCCATCTTACGAGATTTAAACTGATGATCTATAATCCGGAATCGCCGAAGTCCCGATGAGTCCGGCTTAACGACTTTTGACTGTATTAAGCTTATTTTTTGTAAATTTTGATACTCTTTAGATCATAATTGCTCTTTATTTCATAAATTAGGGTTTTATATTTTTAATTTTATAATTTCTGCAAGCCATCTTACCAGATTTAAATTGATGATCTATAATCCGGAAAAACCCCTAATCTGGAATCGCCGAAGTATCGACGAGTCCGGATTAAAGACTTTGTATTGTATATTTAAAATTACAAAACATATTAATGTATACAATAGCAAAAAATGTTTGCTTTTGTTACTCTTTTTACGATGATGCAGATTTAACTTTGGTGACACGGACATAGGTGATGATTACTCATAGCAAATTCTCCAGTTTGGTAATATTAATTGTTTTGAAAAATGAAGCAAGTTTAAATAGAGCAACTTTAGTGAGAAAAATTAATTCTTCAGTTTTAGTACAGTTTAGTTAATAAGTGTTTTAAACAGCATTAGCAAACAATCAATTAGTTACAAAAGAACTCATAACTTAGCGTTCAGAAGAAATATCTTTAAGATTTTTTTCATAGTGTAAATACTGGTGGAAATTAATGGGGAAAATTTAGAAACCAAATATTTGGCTAGAGGATATCATTCTATTTAAACTTCAAAAAATATACAGCAAAATGAAATTCCGATTATTTTCATTTTCAGAAAGTATAGAAATCTAACAACAAGTGGAATAAGTGACATTTTTTGAACTGAATTGGGAACAGATAAGACAACTTAATATTGATTTCAACTTTTAAGAGACCAGAAGCTGAAGGATCTTTAGAGATCAAGTATGAACCTCCACTTACTATCCATCAATATAAATGTTTTTGGCCATATCAATCATCTGGTCACTTTTATCATCTTTTGAATTAATGTTTGGATTATAAAGAATTTTACATAAGGCTTTTTATTCTTTTTAATTAAGATAAGAAATGATGGATTTGCTATTATTAAAGCTAACACAGTATGAATAATTAAATGGCAGACTGTATCTTTCTGTGTTCCCAAAATTTTGCTGACTTTAAAAAAAAATATTTCAATAGCAGCAATAATTTGAAGAGCTGAAGATTGACAAATCTGTAAAAATTAGAAATTATACAGTCAAAAGTCGTTAATTTGGACTCTTCGAGACTTCGGCGATTCCGGATTATAGATCATCAGTTTAAATCTGGTAAGATGGCATGCAGAAATTATAAAATTAAAAATATGAAACCGTAATTTATGAAACAAAGAACAATTATGATTTAAAGGGTATCAAAATTTACAAAAAGAAAAAGCTTAATATTTATTTGTTTACTTTATTAAACATTTCTTTCAATGTAAGTTGTTTAAGTTGCTTCGTTTCATGTGATAATACTTTCTCTTTAATTCTATTAAACAGACATAATTTCTTGTTCAGTTACAAAGTTTCGCTGTTCAAGTCCTATAATTGCTGTGTCGACAATACCGACTAATTCGTCAATCGAAATTTTTTCGTTTTCAATAACCTCTGTGTCACTTTCTTCACTATCGGAAGTGAATTATAATGACGAGGAATTTGATTTAAATCATATCAAAGACGGAGTACATCGAGATGAAATACTACATTTAGTAAGGAATTATAAACCAAATAAAATAAAAACATCTGCCCTGAAGATAAGGATAGTGCTGACAGATCAACTTCCAATTCATTGCACGCCGCAGCGTTAAAGATAAACAAAGTTTAGATAAACAAAGGATATGCCTTTATCCATTTTTTGCAGCAATTCCACTTTTTGTTTAATAGACTTCGAAACATACTTTCGCTTTCTAGATCCTTTACATATTAGTAAAATATATATCAGAAATTCTATTTGACATAATCGAAAGTTCAAGCTTACTTTTATAAAATTGCTGTAACAGTCTGCAAATTCGAATCCAATTCAAAGATTAAGGAATAACGCAAGCATCATTAACTGAAATAGATAATTGTATAATTTTAGCTTATACCGTCCGTTATACGTTAAACGCGCACGCGAAAACGTATTCTGCACTTGCACACACGCATATGCGCGTAAAGGTCTTACACGCATGTGTCAATGCGACGCATGCGCAGAAAGTTTGCAGCTTTGAGGTCCGGATTATGGGTGTCCGAATTAACGACTTTTGACTGTATTTTAGTACATTT